AGGTGCTACGAACAGCAGCTCGCATCTACGCTGTCGACTTTGCGGTAATGTATCGACATGTCTCTTGGCTACGAACGAAGCGTTTTCGACAATACAATTACGCAAAAGCGGTAGTGTATGTAGAATACTTTTCGACACCAATATGGCTAGACCCCCTGGGTGCACCAGGGGGTCTAGCCAAGATGGCTTAACAGTAGTGTATGTAGAAAGTCGAAAACTAAATTTGTATGAAAATGACAGCTCGTGTCGACAGTCGGTAGCCTAGGCCCTAAAGGCGTGAGTTGGGATACAATAAGCGACGCCATGACAGTGCTACGAAAAGACACACATTAACGCTTACGCTATTCGGTAGCCAACGGCCAATTAATGTTTCGGCAGTGTAGAAAAAACGGCGTTTCTCCGCCATGTTTTAGCGTGATCTCAAAAGCTGCTGTTTGCAATAATTCAGTACAACTATTGCCATCTTTAATGGCTACCGTTTTAAAAACATGTCATATTTTGGACGTTTTAACGAAATGGTTTTAATTTGTTATCTGTCTTTTTTACGTTCTCGTGTAATTATAATAATTTAAACTAGAGTTAATATTTTTAAGTTAAGTTTTAGTTTTTCTATGAATCAATGCGAGGATAACATAATAGACACAGATAAATATGAAAATATCAAGAAAATCAGCAAATTAGTAGAGGTAAATCCTAGTTATATTGGATATCTTTTATTGATATTTATATTGCATGTAAGTTCATGAAATTGTTCTTTAATTTGAAAAATACATATACCATTTAATATTGCATATATTATGTAATCACAAAGTAAAATGATTGTACATTTTATTTGTATATTTCAGATGAGAAAGCAGTCACTAATGAACATAATTAGAAGTTCTAAATATACTTTATTGTAATTATAAAAGAAGCTGATAATGATATAATATTGATTTAAATTAATCAAATGAAGTGGATTTATACTTCATGAACTTTGGAAATATAAAATATAGTGAGCAATACTAAGTACTTAATGGTAAGCAGATATTTTCTTTAATTATTTACTAAGTTAATATACTAGAGAAGTTATTATAATATTGTTAATGTATGAGAAGTTTTAATTCAAGTCCCTTGGGAGTTACTGACATTGTTTGGTTATTAAAAACTTTAATTGACAATAAGCAGCAAAGTGACAAATTAAGTATAATTTTTAAGTTTGGAATTAAGTAAAGACTTTTAATATTAAAGTTACCTATTGATCAAAGTACTTACTAAAATATTTTATTTTCAGAAAAAGAGATGCTAATAAGACAACTATTAAAGTGTTATATTATGTACCAGAAAATGAATTTGATAATGGGGAACGAAGCATTTTATGAATAATGTAAAAAATAAGACAAGTGGAGTATGAAATAATGGTTGGTTAAGTAACATTACCTCAAGAACAGGAAACAGTAACTGAAACTATGTTCTTCCACATTTAATCTTAATAAGTTCAGCAGTATGAATGTTAATGAGATATTATTATAAACAAACTGCATTTGTAGATTTTGGGAAGAATTATATCTTTACAATAACTATTATCATTTACAATTGTTGTGTTAAGGAAACAATCACTATTTTTTTAAATCGCCCAGGATGTATTCATAGTAACTGTAGGTATCATAGTAATTTTATGAAATCATCACAACATCTAACGTTAGGTTTTATGAATTGAAAATTTTTTTGTATATAACAGCACACAAACAAGATATTGACATTGCTGCAAATTAACACTTATATTAGTTAATTATCTACATATATGAATACATCTACATTAGGTAGTAATGCATTTAATTTGGTGCACCTGCGTGTGTTCAGTAGTAATGTCTGTATTATTTAATAAGTTGTTACATATGCTTATTTTTCTATGTAGACTGCATTATGTTAAGGAAGATATTTGGTGCCTTATTTTATTAAAAAATAACCATAACTGAAACATTTTTATTTTGCTACCTGTTTGTTTAATATTCCTAACTATTAGTAGGTATGGGTCATTCATATATGCATTATCTGTATATTCTTGTAAAATAAACTAATATTGTGAAGTGAACCACTTTCAATGGCTTTTCCTACTAAAGAAGACAGGTAAATTACCAAAAATAAAACTGACAAATACATAACATACAATGTTTATTCATTTCTTACTTAAACAGATTTTGCATTTACATATTAACTAGTAGCAAATCACTGATATAACCAAAAGTTAATTGACATAAATTTTAACTTAAAATCAGCATCAAACTTAAATTTATATCTAAGATGTTGGAGCATCAATATGGAATCAAGGGTTGATTAAGGGTTATAATTTCATACCAGACTAAGTTTCTATTTTATAATTTTTATTAATCCCTCTTTTCATTTCATTGAGTACTTGCTGTTTTTCAATTCTCACTTTCTAAAAGAATAAATATATTATAAACAATCAACTTTTATGACTCTAACTTAAACTGAAATTGTTTGTTGGACATAAACAGAGATAATTCCAACTAGTAGCAAATCACTAATAAAATCTACACTTATATATAAATCTGCTTTCAAATTGACATTAAAAATGTTCAAGCACAAACACCAAACCTAATTAAAGCTTAAATCAAACTCTAATTTCAGTGTTCACACTAGTCTACGTTTTTTTTCTATTGTTTTTTAATTCCTTGGACTTTATCAACTTCTAGTCAACCTTATTTTCACTCTTTATTTATCAATCCACAGTACTATTTCTATTGTTTCTTCTAAGCGGTAACAAAATATGTTGCTTCTTCATTTTGTAGATTAGTTGTGAGGTCAAATCCTAAAAATATCAAAGTATGAGTACTACTAATTATTATATATCGCGATTATGCAATTTCAAAATATTGTATTTATTTGTAGCCTTAAATTTCTGAGAAAACATGAAACAAACCATAATTAATTTAAACATGCAATTAAAATTCATATATTCACTTTGCACCTTCCGTAAATTCCACTTAAATCGAAAATTGTTCCGACCTTGCTGACATTCTAATGTCCCTTTTCCTTTTGTAGCTTCCAATTGCAAATTTACAATAATATTGTAAAGTTTTAACTTTTATTTGTTTATAAAAGTGACATTAGGAATACATTTAATCCAGAGACAATATGACGGAATAAGGTGCTACGAACAGCAGCTCGCATCTACGCTGTCGACTTTGCGGTAATGTATCGACATTTCTCTTGGCTACGAACGAAGCGTTTTCGACAATACAATTACGCAAAAGCGGTAGTGTATGTAGAATACTTTTCGACACCAATATGGCTAGACCCCTGATGGTTGTTTATCACTCGGGTGCCATCTAACGGCACAGTGTAAACGTTAATACCGCACTCTCACCGCGCGGTCTTTTTAAAAATATTAAAATCAATTAAAATTTATGAAAAAATTGGAAAATGAGTGTTATTATTATAACTATCACAAAAGCAAACTTTATACCGAAAAAAGGTATTTTCTTTTCGTTTTTGTGCATAACTAACTGGAAAATAATAGTATAAACTTTAGGACAAAGATCGAAAATTTTTTTGTAGAGTCGTGTAATTGGTTGAAAACTTTTTACGCTTATTTTAATAATCAAATTATTTCACTAACATTTTTTTACTGAAATAAGAGAAAACCTTTAAAGAATATAAGGTTTTAATAAGCTAATTGAACAGTAAAATATTTAGTTTCATGTAAGAAGTTTACATCATTTACGTTTTGAGTAATTTTTTTAAATGATTTCTAAAAAAATTATATACTTTTTCAAAACCATTGCAATGTTTACAAAAGTATAATCCTGTAAAATAAATTTGTTTACAGATCCGAATTTTAAAATGAAATTGTATTCATATTTTAAATGTCGTATATAAAAAAATGGTGCGTGTACTTATGTACGCGCGTAAGAAGTTATACTTCTTTGGCTTTCTTTATTTTTTTTAAATATTAAATAATTAATAATAAATATTTAGCGTTAATAATTTAACAATATTTAATATTTAGTATATTATTCAATTATTAATTAATATTAATTTTTAAAATTAAATTATTATTTATTATTTTATTATATTATTAATTCAATTTAATAACTAGGTATGTTTCATAACCTTTTAACTAAGTAACAATAGGTCTTTGTGAAAAATCATTGCTAAATTTCTTTGAAAAATAATTAAAACTCCTTTATTTGTTTAAAAGGTACTACAAATGTTATTATGGTCATCCAAAATTCTTGGCATAGCTGCTAACGTCACGCATATTCTATTTCTTTTTACTTGTAGATTGTCTTATTCCCATCTCGCTCGCGCACGCTCGGCGCCCTTACTGATAATTTTGTGTCACGGTGCGCGCGCATCGTAAAATTTCACTCTCATAAATTTTTCATAACGCGCCTAAAGAAGTATAACTTCAAAAAGTAACTATTTATACCTTCATCCATACTTATATTTATTTTTTTAGCAGTTTGAAATAACTTTAATTATTTCCAAAATCTACGACGAAACGAAAGCCTTACAAATTTTTCATCAATAAATAACTTGATGAATATTTTTCATTACCTATGGGTAATATAATTTAAAAATCATTAATTTGAGAATGAGTTTTTGGGTCTAAACGCAAATGAAATGTATAAATATATAATTTCATATATACCTACAGCATTCGCTAAATACATTTACAACTGTCAGGTGTCAAAATACAGATAATTTCACTTGTCAACGTCTTGCTTGCAAAGTAAAGTGACAATTAACAATAACTATTACAGGATTTTCAAGACAGTAAAAATTGAAATCACGAAAACTGTAAAGTGAAACACCGAAGTCCGAAACCTTACAATTACAAATTTTAAATACATAATATACTTTTTTGTGACTTATAATAATATTGTGATTTAAAAGCAGTTAAATATTAATTTTAAAGACTAGTTCAAAATAGTGAACCAAGTGGTTACTTTTTGTGGTTATTTTACAGTATATTCGTCGTTAAATAGTGAACTATGGTTACGGATACCATTACCACCCCTCCTCCAGTAACTTGGGCGCAAAGGAAAACATGTGTATTTGTTGTTTTCAATGTTGAATGTGAAAAACCTGATATCAAAATAGAAAATAGGTTAATCTCATTCAAAGGCTTATGTGGCCCGGAACAGAAGTTAAACGAGGTGGAATTATCACTTTTTGATGAAATAGACCCTGAAAAAAGTATTCAAGTTAACAAAGGAAGATTCATTGAGCTTGTTCTTGCCAAGGTCAATTCTGATGCTGCATTTTGGCCTGCCTTAACAAGTGATAAGAAAAAACATCATTGGCTTAAAGTTGATTTCCAAAGATGGCAAGATGAAGATGAGAGTGAAGATGATACAGATTGGGAAGGCATGAATCAGGTAACTGATGATATGGGTCCCTCGTATGATTCTACTTCTTCAGAAGATGAAGATTAAGCCATAATATAACTCATAACATAACATTCTCAGTCTTAAGCTAGTCTGAATATAGATAGATAATCATCAGTTAGCAATAATAGTTTGTATCAGGTTTGAACATTTTGATAAGTCCATTTTAAACCAATAAAATTATTTAGATTTTAATGTACTTTAAAATATGCAACATGGTGTGTAGAGTAACAAAGATTCATGGACTTAGTCATTAATTCACTGTATGTAAAATAATAAGTGGACTTATCAACTGCCTGTCAATATAATATAAATATCATATACACTTTATACATTCCTAATTCCTAAAGAATTGCTAGCCTAAAGCTTAATCCCCTTTATTTATACAAAAGTTAAGTACCTGTCTCTTAACAAAATTTTAAAGAGGCTGTGGTGTTTTTTTAAACTAATTTAGTTGTATGAATATTGGGCTACTATGCAACTCACAACTTGAGCGATTGAAACTGTTAGAAGTCCGGTACTCCAGTGGATCAACAGTGTGTGTAAGGCATGGAAAGCTGTTCGCCGATTTGCAATTATTTTATATTGAAATGTTTAAAGAAACAGTTGCAATTTGTAGCCACAAAGCAATGCAGCATATAAAATATATTTGTAATTTACTAGCTAACTTTTCTTTATGAAATATTTATGTTAACTATTTTATAGGAATTCTTTGAATAGCAGAGAAAAAGCATTTTATGTTCCCAAAGATGTTAAGCTTTTTAATGCGTATATGGAGGATATAATATGAAGTGCAATGTTAAAGAATGCTATGGGGTGTTGTAATGAAGGCAGGATAACAGTATTAAAATATGTTATATTAAATAGTGTTTTATAAATCTGTTTTTTATTTAAAAATAGTGGCTAAGTACTTAAAAAAGTAAAAAATAAAATCAGTGGCGCTACAACCTCTTTAGGTCTTGGCCTCAGATTCCTGAATCTGTTTCATGATCATTTTTATATCTAAAAGGCAAGTAGGTTTAGCCTCCAGTGCCTGTACACGCCGTCGACTTCTTGGGTCTAATACGTCGGTTTTCTCACGATGTTTTCCTTCACCGTTCGAGCAAATGTTAAATGCACACATAGAAAGTCCATTGGTGCACAGCTGGGGATCGAATCTACGACCTCAGGTATGAGAGTCGCACGCTGAAGTACTTAATGGTCTTAAATAAAAAAAATAATGCTTAAGACTCAGGTAATGATTTAGATTTGTGACTTAGTGCTAAGTATGTACGTTTGTAAAAATTGTGTTTTTATTTTGCGCAGTATTGACTGAACAACAGATAAATGACATTTAGTACTACGTCAAAAATGTATTGGATTTTAACATACGGAATTGACTTGGCTTTCGACCCCTGCGCTGGAAATATGTACGGCGTTTACGGGTAAAGTATCTGTATATGTGTACAAAAGGAATTACACAAATGCCGTACAATAATAAATGACCTATATTGCTTCTGCAATTATCGTCGAATTAAAAATTTGCACTGACTTCCGGCACCACCACTTTAGTACGGCACTAGGTTTTTCGACATTTATTTTTAATCATCTACACAATATAACAAAGCCGTACATTAATAATTAGTCGTAATTCCTCATTTGTACCTGATAAATTCCATTCATTTAACATTCGCTAGAACGGTGAAGGAAGACATCGCGAGGAAACCGGCTTGTCTTCGATTCAAAATGTCGACGGCGTGTCAGGCACAGGAGGCTGATCACCTACTAGCCTATTAGATTTACAAATGATCATGAAACAGGTACAGAAAACCTCAGGGATGAGAGTCGCACGCTGAAGCCACTAGGCCAACACTCTATATGAGGTCATTGAAAAAAGATATAATTATTTCTGTATAAAATTATAAGTGTGTGTATCTTTTGTAAATATGGATGATTGTTTCAAGGAATAAATTATGCCTCATTATTATTACTTAAAGCATCCCGTTGAGCCTCGAAAAACAGGGCATCGACTGGCATCATCTACTGGGCAGGCCCCAGTGGCTAAGGTCCAAGAAGTTCTAAATATTTTTAGCGGTTTTTCCATAATTCAACACAAAATTCTTTGTTTTATCTTGTAATATTTTTACTCGTTTTTCAACGTATACAAAAGACATTTACACTGTGTTTTAGTGCCAATCATGGTTATATTATCAATAAAATCTCATTATATAAATAAAATAGTTAAAGAATAAATAATTATCGGGTACCAAGTAGAAACAAACATATGGCTCAGTTTCTTTGTTATTTCGATCTGAGTAGATAAAGATTAAAGACATCGAGACCGTCATGTTGGCTAATTAAATTTGATATCGCAATCAAACTATACGCCATATTTCTCTACCAATTTGATACTATTTGCTACCTTCAAAGACGCATTTGCTACCTCTGCATTAAAGAACATAATAAACAAATGAAGTGGCCGGCCATTCTGACGTCAGGTTGGCTGACCACTATTATATAATTGGGTTCTAAGAATCTTTGAGTGATAGCGTATTTATACATATCTTCTACCTTTTCTACCTGAGCAAACAAACTTTAAAATAAGTCTCAGAAGCCTATAAATTTTTTTTATTATTAATATAGCCATGAGGGGTCTAAAAACGCCTACAAAAAAGGACAAGCAAGAGTTCGGCACTTATAACTTATCACAGCATTGCAGGCGCTAAATAATAGGTAATACTCTAATAATTAACTATTCCAAATTTGAAGAAGATCTTTCTTATTGTAGAAGTTAGGTGAAATGTAGGTGTCATAAAAATACAGGCACAAATAAAAACACAAAATTATAAAGATTAAAATTTATTCATGAGTTCTCTATGGCAATAATTCTCTAGGCATTATAATTATTAAGTTATTATTCTAATAGATAATAAATAAAAAACATTGTTGGTCGCTTACAATAATTACTTTAATACTTCAACTCCCCGTTTATATCCACAACGGATCGATATTGTTTCCAATTGGATAGAAAAATGCGGGATTCCTAATTTGTTATCAGGTATAATATAATAATAACTACATATCTATTTTAAAAGCCACTTAGTATATACAACACAATTTATTTTCGATTTCATCCATGTAACTTATATTATCTTAATAATTAATCACAATATTAGCCCGTTTCCAAAGATTTTTCAAGTTCCAACTTTGAAGAGTGAACTGTCACAGATTGACAAAAGGGTAAATTCACCTTCAGCCTTGTCTATGAATCCTAGCTAAAAACGAAGAATTGTCTCTATGTGTCAATGTCGTTTGTAAGCCCTAGACAAAATGACTTTACAGCAGGCGTGACCCTAATCAAATTATTACGAATATCTCACACCGTATTGTAACGACCATTGAAGAGTGGTTCGTCTCAAGAGGCAAATTGATCTAATTTTTTTTTAAAAGTTTTACATGTAAAGTTTGGTCATATGTACAAAAAGTGTAAATAAGATGTTTTGTTTATCTGGTACTGCGAGTATTTGAAATAAAGAAAATATTTTTTCAAAAAGGTCTAAAGGTAAAGGTTGTCTTAAGATAATGTCGTGTATATTAATCGAAAAATGGAAGAATATATATATATACCTTTTATTTATATTATTTACAGAACCGATCGTAAGTTTGAAAAAAACTTTGGATACGGGCTGAGCCCGTACGTATTCTAGAAAGTTGATGAAATTAAATCTAAACAAGTTGCCGTTTTTTAACATGAAGACAATGACCAAGATAAGATTGTGACTTGAGATACGAATTAGAATACGGGCCATAGATCTTAATATTCTTCTAACACTATGTACTTAATATATGTTCAAGCAAACTGTACAACGTCATAAAATTATCCTATTCTATGGTCTAGTATGAGTTGACAATTTACATAAAAGTTTTCAAAAATCTTGAAAAACATGGTGTCATCTGTCTAGTGTACATTTAGTTAGTGAAGATTTAAATATTAAGAAAATTATATTGATTTATTAATCTTAATAAATTCTTAATAAATTATATTAATTTATAATATTTTATAAGATAATACATATATAACAACAATAATACATACAATATAGTTTGCCGAGACGCAAATTAATTTGAATTTAATTGCTTAAGATATCGATACATTTCAATTAAATTGTAAAAGAAACAACGTGGTAAAGAAGAGTAAAAATGTCTCTAAATCAAACAAATAATAGTCAATTAATAAAAGCGCGCGAAACAACATCCGCCATGTTTTTCTTTTTAAACTCTTTACTTTTTGGCATTAAACTGAAGGATTCGAGGTTATAAAAACTTCAAAAAAAAAAGGTTTTTCTATCAACTCATACTAAACATGGCAACAATATGCAGTTAACATTCAAGAATAAGTACCTATTCTATAACTCCACCACTGTTTAGGAATGTGTTCTTTGCTATTTCGAATAATTGAGCGGACATTCTGTCACTGGTTTCTTTAACCATTTTCGTAAAATGTCCTTCGGGGTTGCACAATAGTTTGTACGGATAGTCAAATTCTACAAGTCGCCCTGCGTCCATCACCATGACGCGGTCGGAGTCCATTATGGTATTAAGCCGATGAGCGACAGTTAATACTGTGCAGTCTGCGAACTTTTTCCTAATCGTCTTCTGTATAAATTCGTCGGTTCTAAACAAAAAAGTGTTACGTTAATGTTGTTGTGGGATGGTTGGGGCTTTGACAAGATGCCTTAACAGTAGTGTATGTAAAAAGTAGAAAACTAAATTTGTATGGAAATGACAGTTCGTGTCGACAAATTTAGTTTTCGCTTTCTACATACACTTCTGTTAAGGCATCTTGTCTAAGCCCCCTGGAGTCGGAATTCGGTATTTATGTCAAAATGGAAGTCAAGTCATTTGAGTGGTTACTACGTCAATAGATGGCGCTTTGCATAATTTTAGCTTAAAATGTTTTAAAGTATTGTTTTGACCGTTTCCTTAACCAGACCAATCAAGGCGTACGATACGTTTAAACTTTTTTTTTAAACCTTCACAAGAGCCTCTATAATTTCTAACAGCGAGGGAAAAATAGGTAAAGGGGGAAAAATAGGTAAAGGAGGAAAACAAGAAGGGGTCTTGTATGCAATTGCTCCCTGGCTCGGCAAGCAATATTACCGATGTAGCCAGGGCAGATCTCGCGCAACACAAATAGCCGCGTCCACACCGAACGATCGCGCATGGATCATGGCATGAGCGCGATCCAAATGTACATGCGGTGTGGAAGTGGCGCGCGCGATCGGATCGCGATGGATCGTTCGGTGTGGACGGGGCTATTGAGATACGATTTTATTATGCACAACTATCTTTTTAGTAAAATACAGGTATACAAGGGATATTATTTAGACCATAAGTTTTGACAACATTTATTAATAAATAACAATTCTTATTTCGACAGTTGCATGCCTATTTTTATAGGGCTGATTGTTAATCACTCTGAATCCTTTACAAATAAACAATTTATTTGTTTTAGAAGAAAATATGAGATGGAAAAGAGTCCCTGGACACTATGGCCAAGGGAGTAAACAAAAGAAAACTTCTAACAGCGATACTGACAACATGAATAATGAGTTTGTATTCTGCGCGATCTCAATGCGAGAGAGCTCGCAAGTGCCGTCCTTTTAATAATTTTAATAATACGCTCTTTTCTTGAAAACCCTTAGTCGCATTGATTCTTTGGACTTCGCATTGATTGGAAATACGTCAGTGAATCTAACTTACTTTGGATCAACATTAGCTGTAGCCTCGTCGAGTACGAGGATTCTGTTCCCTCGCAAAATGGCTCGCGCGAGGCAAACCAATTGTCTCTGACCGAGTGAGAAGTTCGATCCACCTTCTGACACCTTGAAGTCCAATGATGGAATTGCAGCTTTCAGGTCAACCTTAAATTGTCAATTATATATTTGTCATTGATAAATAAGAAATAAAAAAATAACGATACAATAATAACACCAATTTGTACAATTGGATAAAATTTATACAGTATACTACACAAATATTATTATGTAATTCTATATAAATTTTTTTTAATATTGGAGTGAAGCATGGTGCAACTCGAGGTCCAACTTTTCACCTAAGATTCATGAAAGGGGAATATTAATTTAAATAAAATGTGTTTATTGATTATAAACAATTATGTGTAAGATTTGGGAACCGTTTTAAGTAAAAAATACGTGTGTCCGGGTTCCCAGATCTCCAATACTTCAAAGTTAATTTAAAAAAAAATTGTTTTATAAAATTACAAGTTTGATTTTTTTTAACTGTTTACGATATCTTCTCCCAATTTATTTACAAAATACATGACGTACGCCTTACACGCATGAGTGTATGAGTGTGTGGGTGCATGTTTGCGAATGAGTGAGTGTAATGTGTTAGGTCTCAGGAGCATCTCCAACTCTGCGTTAGGTGTGTTCAAACACAAACTCAAAATATCTATTGAGCAGCCTATTGAATTTATTATAGGTAAATTCAATTGAATGTAGAATAATAAAAACTGTTAAATAATATGTCAAATTATTATAAATTTTTGACAATGAGGAAAAATAGATGATTCTAAGATTTGTAACTGGAAATTGTATCAAATTTAGTTTGATACAGTTGACACGAACACTATTCGAAAACGATCGCAATGTTCCAAATACTTCTGACGTTTTACGTTCATATTTAACTGTGCGTTGAAACAGTGTTGGCCTAGTGGCTTCAGCGTGCGACTCTCATCCCTGAGGTCGTAGGTTCGATCCCCGGCTGTGTACCAATGGACTTGCCTTCTATGTGCGCATTTAACATTCATTAAAACGGTGAAGGAAAACATCGTGATGAAACCGGCTTGCCTTAGACCCAAAAAGTCGACGGTGTGTGTCAGACACTGGAGGCTGATCACCTACTTGCCTATTAGATTGATAAATGATCATGAAACAGATTCAGAAATCTGAGGCCCAGACCTAGAGGTTGTAGCGCCACTGATTTTTTTAAATTTAACTGTGCGTATATCTAAGAAAGATTCAAACTTACAGCTTCCAAAGCCCGCCATAAACGCTCATCATCATAACTATTGAATGGATCCAAGTTGTATCGAATCGTTGCCGAAAACAGAACTGGTTCTTGAGGGATGATAGAAATTTTGGATCGCAGCTCCTAATAATAACAAATATTAGATAATATATTAAACAATTTTTAGATGGGTTTACAGCAAGGTACAATTCGTGGTGCACCTTTGTTTTATATCCAAACGAGGATCGGATCGCATCCGAAATTAAAAACGAAAATATAAACATTTCTTAAATTTAAAATGATAAAAAATTCATTTATTGTTTATAGAGGCAATCTAGCTTACGGGGTGCCTATAAAGGGCATCGATTTTGGCGGCTACTTCACCGGCCTTTGAGGGAGGATATGCTCTCATTTTTTGAGGTTCGAGAAAAGACCTCCATCGATACCACTGTTCGCTAGTTCGCAAAAGAAAATGCCTAGTGAAGCAACCTTCCAGCCATCAAGGTGATGCGGTAGAAGTCTGGAGTTAATACGGTCCGTACGGTGATGTACACTTTGTAGAAAAAGTTTGATACAAATATATATATTTAAAGGCTCTTTATCTAATTAGATACTTATATCGATATTCATTATATATATATATGTTAAGTATAAATACCTGCAGGGCTAAGTTTCCAGTGTCCACGTCATCGATTAAAATTTCCCCTTCAACAATCGCAAGGCGGAACAAAGATGATATCAAAGACGATTTACCAGCACCCGTTCTTCCAACAATGCCCACCTAAAACATTTTTTTTTAAATTTATTACATGACCATGGATACAAGTCTTTTAGCCGGAATACAAATTTGATTTTGCCAGTCTCAAATAAGGTGGCTACAGACTATAGATTGACTCCTATCTATATACTGAAGATTTATTCAAATGATAACGAAGAAGGAAGAATTAATTTGAATGAATAATTTTATTGCAGGCTCAAGACGCTAAAAGTCGACGGCCTGTGAGAAAAAATGATATCTGAGGCCCAGTCCTAAAAGGTAGTGTTACTACTTTTTTTCTTTTGAATAACAGGCTAAGTGAATAATTGATCATACCTTCCAACCGCTCTCTAGTACCAAATTCAAATTCTTCAGAATTGGCAAATCTTCGGGAGTGTATTTCATGAAACAATTTCTAAATTGAATACGACCCCGAGATGGCCAGTCCTTTGGTGTTTCTTGTGCTGAAAATTGAAAAAAATTACGTTAAAGTTTGAAAAACTAAATATTATAAGCAACCTTAATCCATAACATGAAAAAAAAAAAAGAAAAAGAGCGGTAAACATTCGTTCCGTGGTACACTTACGTAGAACAATTCGAACTATAATCTATATTGTGAATAATACTTCCGTATTGACATTGACATTATGAAGTATCATTTCAAAAATATACATAGTCTTCATACCGTTATATGTAATAAATACATTGTCTTAATATGTATATTTTTTATTACTACTAAATTTAAAATAAATATAATATTATTATAACCTAAAAGAAAATTAATCGTTCAAATATGTAGTAATTTTAATTTCAAAGAACATGCAAATAAAGGACAATAAACTCTTTGGTCTATCCTATTTAGTCTTTCGTCCAGCTTTGTATTAGACAAATAATGACGAGGGCGTTGCCTAGCAACCGATGGATTAGAGGGAAAATATAGGATTATATAATGCATTTAACACTAAAGAATTTTAGATTTTCATTTTATCATTTTAAGCGTTTCGATTTGTTTTAGACTGTAACTATGGTATGCCTTTTAATAATTAATTAATACGTAGTGATTTTGTTTTTTACCGATATTGCAATGTTGCCTGTAGTTGTAAATTTTTTAAGCGTCGTATTAAACTAACAAAAACACTTTTAAGCTTAACCAAGTTTTTTTATAATTTAATAGTTTGTTTATTCCAATTTTTTTTTATCTTGAGTATTCATTTAATTTGTATATTTTCGTCCACAGATTATATTATATTATAAAAACTCACTTCCTTTGTCCCATTGTGGTTCCCTCTCAATATGCGTGTATTGTAGAATTCGCTCAACACTTGTCATCTGTGATATAACTTCAGCGGTCTGACGGACACCAAATTGAAGCATTCCGGTTAGGATAAGGGTCTGTGATATTGCCAAACCCACGTTACCAGAGAATATGGTTTCTGAAAAAAAAATCTCTTTGTTATATTTGCTATTTTTCTGTTACTAAAAATAATTTATTGTTATTTTTTGAATTAAGAGGGAATTTACAAGTCATTGAAATTAGATACTTTTTGGTGTTGCTATGTTTGACACGCGGTGTTTTGTCTAGTGTTACCAGTTATATATAATATAAACACAAATCTACACTAATATTACAAAGAAGATAGATTTGATTGTTAGTTTATCTGTTAGCATTAAATAGGCTCCAAAATTAGAATCTTATTTTATCCCTGATGAACATAGACTATAGAATATTTCTTATAAAAACTTCGACAATAACATAAGATATGGATATCAATAAAAATTTCATTCTATATTTTTTCATAGAAGACATCAATATCTACAAAAACGTCGGCGATATTAATTCATTAAAAAAAAATCCAGTCGTGTGAAGGCGGGTATTGTATATAATTTTAAACTAAACTTACTGCTGTCAATGACTAGGAACGCTACAATGACAATGGCCAAATAGATGACACAAATGAAATCCAACCAGAAGCCAAGCGTGACGCCACTCGCGAGATAACTACTCCATGTGGACGTGTGGATATCCTGGAAAGAAAATTAATAATTATTTAGTGGTTTAGACATGGGTCTTGACTTGTTGTGAAAATATGTCACAATACCTTTTTTTAATGTCTTTTTTTAGCGAATTGTCTTTTGACTGACATTGATATACAAAATACCCAAGATGCACACTCAATGTCTAAAAAACGTCCTCAAAAAATGAGCGCAACATTCTAAATTGTGCGCTCATTTCAAATAGTCTCGCGTCGCTCGCGTCTGGGAGCAGTTGTTAAAAATGCCAAAGTGTTCTGTGAGAAATTGTAAAAATCTAACGTCAAGAAGGCTAAAAATGGATGGGATATCGTATTTTCGGTAAGTAAAAAACTTTATTGATTAGTTTTTGTTGTTTTTATGACTGATTATAACAAGCAATGTGTGATTTTTATTTATTTTTTCTAAACTTCATTCAACGCACAAAATTCTATACGGCCAACTTCAATGGCTGCTTGTTAGAACAACGCATTACAGTCTTCTTTTTATTTTAGTCGCATTATAAGAATGACCCTGTTCTAATAAGTGGAGTCGATGTTATTTATTTGTGTTTTTTTTATAAATAAATTTATGTACTTTCGAACTTTTTTGTATGTAGTTTTTGACAAATATATTTACGCTACATAAAGTGTAGGTCAGGAGGTAGCCAATTTAAAAAAAAATTAATTTAAAGAAAATACTTCTTAACCGGATTAAAGTTATGTATTATTATAAATTTACAACTATTTAACATCCAACACCTTTTGTCTTCAGTCACCGTGACCACGCACGCTGTAAAGCACGCGAAACGTCGGATAAATTTAAAATTATGTTAAATAGTTGTAAATAAAAAAGTCATGTTCGACTCCACTCAATACCTTGTCCTACCGACCACGGTCGGTCGTAAAATTTTATTGCTTTAAGTACACTGCGTTGTAATAACAACTTTAAACAATTCGCGTAAGGTTGATTTTGCAATAATATATGCTTGTAACTTATAGAAAGAGACAGAAATAGTGTTTCGGGACACTTTCAAACGTTACTTTTATTCGAGCACAGTCTCGAGCAAATCTTGGGTTTTTTGTATATCAATTTTTGACTGACATAATTTCGTAGCCTAAACAAATAAAATGCAAAATGCTTTTATTAAAAACAGTAAGTCGTGATACGATACGTCAAAGTCAGTGAAACGAAAAGCCTCTGCACGCCGCCATTGATTGATCACACGTTGATACGCGAAATTAGAGTATCAGCACCATTGATATACAAAAAACCCAAGATGCACAATCAACGTCTAAAAAACGTCCTCAAAAAATGAGCGCAACATTCTAAATTGTGCGCTCATTTCAAATAGTCTCGCGTCTATAAGTGGAGTCGATGTTATTTATTTGTGTTTTTTTTATAAATAAATTTATGTACTCTTGAACTTTTTTGTGTGTAGTTTTTGACAAATATATTTACGCTATATAAAGTGTGGGTCAGGAGGTAGCCAATTTAACATTTTTTTTTAATTTAAAGAAAAAACTTTTTAACCGGATTAATGTTATGTATTATTATAAATTTACAACTATTTAACATCCAACACCTTTTGTCTTCAGTCACCGTGACCACTCACGCTGTAAAGCACCCGAAAAGTCGGATAAATTTAAAATTATGTTAAATAGTTGTAAATAAAAAGTCATGTTCGACTCCACTCAATACCTTGTCCTACCACGGTCGGTCGTAAAATTTTATTGCTTTAAGTACGTATACACTGCGTTGTAATAACAACTTTAAGCAATTCGCGTAAGGTTGATTTTGCAATAATATATGCTTGTAACATATACTGTTATGGACAGAAATAGTGTTTCGGGACACTTTCGAGCGTTACTTTTATTCGAGACTGTGCATCTTGGGTTTTTTGTATATCAATGATCAGCACTGAATAAATTCAAAGCTCTCGTTAAACGTAAATCCTAGTAATATAATACATGCGAAAATTTGTGAGTACGGATGGATGTTTGTTAATCTTTCAAGTAAAAACTACTGAATGGATTGTAATGAAACTTTACAGTAATATAGCTTATACATCAGAATAACACTTAGGCTACAATTTAGAAAGATATTGTGTGAATTGTCCAAAATATCAAGGAAGTAGGAAAAAATCTACCATCTGCGAGCTATTCTGGCGTGCGCTGCCAAAACTGCTAGAGTTACACATATGTAATGTATGATGGAAATGTTTATCTTAAATAGTCAATATCTTTAGTAGTTTTTTTCTACGCCACGGTAATATAAGCTACTCGAAATACTAATCCGGCGCAGACGAAGTCGCGGGCCCAAGTTATTAATCAATAAAACTTTTTATAAATTTGACGAATACTTAAATGATCCTAATCCTTGGAATTGATTTGCTCCAGTTCAAACAATTTGTATGACTCAAAAATTGGCGATTAAAAAGAGTGGTGGAGAGTTTCTTGCCAGCTCTACGCCCTTGACTTGCGAACTGGTAGTAAATGTAAATTAAGAATATTTAACATCTTTTCTGTTGACGTTCATAAGTGTACTTGTTTACCTATATGAATAAAATTATTTTGAGTTTGAACATGTACATGCACACAAATACTAAAAGCGCGGTTCAAACAGATTGCCAACTCCTAAAGATTCCCACTAGAACAAACTACAAATACCCCTAAATATCGACTAAAACCCCCTAAAGTTTTTGTTGTACACTCGGTATAAGGTAATTTCAATTATGCATCAAAAATATATTCAAATAGTATATAATTTCGATCTTGGAGTATTATAGCATCATAAACTCAAAATAACTTTATTCATATAGGTAACCAAGTACACTTATGAACGTCAACAGAGAATATGTTAAATTGATTCTAAATTTACTTTTACTACCAGTTCGCAAGTCAAGGCCGTAGAGCGGGCAAGAAACAAGTATATTTCAGTTATAGCCATACTTTGAGTTTGTATTTGGTTTAGTTTGATCTAGGCTTAATATACGTATAAATTTGGGGGGGCAAACCCCCAAGTTGGCAGCACTGGTGCCACAGTGTATCCATATTTATAATATCGGCGTAGCTCGCGGAGCGTATTCCATTTTCATTCACGGAAATCATTAAAATAAACTAAAATTAAATGTTAATCCACAGCTCGCGTCGTTTACATAATATTTGTATAAATTATTATTATTATTCGTAAAATAAACTAACAAATAACTTATTATCTGACCACGCAATCTACAAAAATAATTTTAAATAATAAAGTGTTAAATAACACTTCTTACATAATACATATATGTACATTATATATGTTGTGCACATTATGCACATAATTTTATAATATTACATATTTACTACATTTGTACTTGCTGTGACTTGTTATTGCTGCGTACCTCTATAAGAGAGAAACGCTACCCATGTAGCGAGAAACTCGGGTCAGTGAGAGACCTCTATAAGCAAGAATGAGATTGTGCTCCCTTGAACTCTCGCTTATCCAGGTTTGACTGTACTTGTTTTCGTGTTTGACCCATTCGCTAATTCAAAAGGTTTTCTTTTCATACTAGGCCAGTGATAAATGTTCTTCCATTCTTTCAATTGCTTACCTGGAACCGATCGAATTCTTGTATCAGCCTTTGTTGAGCGCCTGATGACCTGATAGTACTGATACCGTTCAAGGTGGCCGACATGTGAGAGAATACTGGACTACGTGCTGAAAAGAGAATTATATTATAACTAGCTGACCTGGCAAACGTCGTTTTGCCATGTATATCATTTATAGTAAAAAATAGGGGTTGATCGTAGAGGGGTGAAAATTAGAGGTTGTATGTATTTTTTGATGTTGTATCATAAAAAAAAATTAAAAAAATGAAAATTTATCTAAAAATAAAAAAAAAATATTTAGGGGTGGACTACCCTTAACATTTAGGGGGATGAAAAATAGATGTTGTCCGATTCTCAGACATACCCAATATGCACACAAAATTTCATGAGAATCGGTCAAGCCGTTTCGAAGGAGTTTACAAGGAACTACAAACACCGCGACACGAGAATTTTATATATTAGATAAGTGAAGAAAAGTTAATATTTAGTTATTAATATTAGTGCTAGTATTGCGGTCAAATTTGTCTCAGACACTTCGTTTCCCCGCGAACTTCGTTTCTCCTTAATGTGATTTTACTTAGCCAACCTTTTTAGTAAATACCAAGATGGAACATTATGCTATTATGCTATGCCCAGAGGCTGTTCGGTTTTCCGTAATGAAAACTTTTTAGGTTTTTCTGTGAATTTTTCTCTATATAAACCTTAGAGTTCAAGTCATAAGTTTTTAATTAACAAATAAAAAAGGGGTTGATCGTTAAGGGGTGAAAATTAAGGGCTGTATGTATTTTAGTATTGTATCATATAAATATAAAAACAAAAAATGTTGGCTAAAAATAAAAAATAAAATGTTGGGATGTTCTTAATTCCGTATGATGAACCAAGTCACAATCTTGGGCGCTGTCGGATCAAAAATGTGATAATTGACGTTCTAATCCAGTCTTAGTTTCATCCAAATCGGTTCAGTGGTTTTTGAGGTATGGATACATATTTCTGGTACTTGGTTAAATAAATTATATCGTCCATACATATTATATAATCTTTTATTTAAAATAAAAGTTAGATTTTTTACTACTCTTATTAAAGTGTAGAAAATGATGTTTTAATTCAAATATCAGTTATAATTTACTGACTTGTCCCTTCCAATCGCTTAATAGATTGCGCCGACTTCAAATATATTTGCAGAATAGTATAGAAGAGAAGGAGAATGATTGTGGTTGGCAGAAGCGTCCAGACCAGTGCAGCAGCATTCAAAGCCAATATGCTGAACATCACGAGGTAGATTTGAATGCACTCCAAAAGGAAACGTGGTAACAACTCGTCTAAAGCACCGATGTCTTTTGAGAAACGATTGAGGATTCGTCCTGAAAAAAAGGGGAATAAATTAATATATGAGCAGTGTTGGCCTAGTGGCTTCAGCGTGCGACTCTCATCTCATGTCCTAGGTTCGATCCCCGGCTTAGACCCAAAATACGGAGGCGGGTGTCAGGCACAGGAGGCTGATCACCTACTTGCATATTGACAAATCATGAAACAGATACAAAAACCTGAGCCCCAGACCTAAAAATGTGCCACTAATTTATATGTAACTAGCAGACCGGCCAAGCGTTGCTGTGGCTCAGGATTTTGTTGTATTACATAGTAGTAAACTATTCAAGGGAAACGGTAGGAGAACACCAGTCATGGGGACCACCATGCTTTTTTGGTGGTTATGCCATTAAATTGTAGCTTATGTGAAACGTTGGTACTTTCAACACAGCGCCATCAGTTAGAATTGTGACTGTCAAATAATAAACAAATATTTTGCAATAAAATAATATTGCGGGTATAAATTGAGATGTAAGCTATCCTATCTTTTAAGTTAGATCAAACCGCACACGGTGTGCAAATTTGATTGTAATCGGTTCAGTAGTTAAGGAGTCCATAGCGGACAAACAACGGCGTTATATATATTAAGATTAGCGGGGGTTCGAATCCACGACCAGGTTCGGTAATAGCTGACAAAATCTTTGCCTACTGGAATACTAATTCAAAATGATCAATATACATAAACAATTACAAGAACAATGGAAAATATAGCTAAAATATACTACTATAATATATAAACCGGATATATAAGAAATTCATAAATATCCGGCTCTAAGGAAAACGTATTAAGCATGGCATCACAGATTTAACTAATGTAAACACATTGAACGAACTGCTTGTTGGCAATAATAAATGCTTGGTGAAGGGGGGGGCAGGTGACTGGATATTCTTGGTCCTAACTCCTAAGCGAAAAATAAATAATGCGGTCAAGGCATTCAGTAAAGCGGGAATATATTTTAAAATACCTGATGAATTTGTGTCAAAGAACCGCATGACGCCACGCAGCATGGAATGGAACATGTCGTTGTGAAGGTTTCTTGATGATGTCATGCACACTTTGAAGAACATGAACGCTCTGGCGGTTATGAAAAAGATGCAGCAGATTATCAATGCCGTGTAAATATATAGGTACTGTGAGGTGTCCAAAGGTCCGATGTAAGCGTGGATGTCCAGATCTGAAATTTTTAAAAGTTTAAGTCAAAAATATACTAAAAAAATGTGTGCGTGTACTAGTGTACACACGTAAGAAGTGAAACCCTTTATGACCTTATTTTTCGAAAAATGATCTACTATATGCAACTTTACAGAAATTGGTCAAATAAAGTAAATTTAGATAAAGTTTAACAAAAGGCTTTTATTATTATAGACATGAAAACAAATAATACAATTATTTAATTTTACCTTATTACTACTAAGATTATTACAGAATTTCATTAATTGTAATAGAATTGATATTACAATCATTGTTATCGTTATTATATATTTTTGTTATTAATATAAATTTTATACATTTTATGAACGCACTACACGGTTTTTGACATAAATAATAATGATTTAAAAGCATAATTTCTATTTATAACTAAATTAAATACTGCATTATTTATTAAATATAACGGGAAAAAATTATCCAATATAAAAAACAGTACGTTGCGGTAAGCCTGAAGTTAGTTTTCAGAGGTAGGCAAAATTCACAAACAACATATCTTGCTACTAATCAATAAACTGGATCCGAAATCGCAGGATAAGAAAAAGATGGCGCGTAACGGAAAAATGTGACGACGTCAGTTGACGTAAATTTTTTCCAACGCCGATAAAGAAGTTTCACTTCAAAAATATATAGTATACGTTCATGAATTTCGCTGTCAGTGAATTTTCAGTTTTCTATCAAAATAAAAAATAAGTGTGTTGTTAAAGTTGATTTTCGTTTAAATACAATGTGGCAGATGAATAGTAAAATATATACAGATATATTATCCGATACAGATCGGAAAATGATATATTTTTCATATATTACATTAAAATTTCTATTTATATATAATAATATTAAAATTAAATTTTTGTATTAATAAAAAAGTTACTTGGTTCAGCTTCGATTCCTGTAAAATAACTCGTGAAAGTAAAGGTGCTGTTTGGTGGTACCACGACGGTGGTGTAATCATTGGTGCCGTTCGACTCTCTTTCTTTTTGGCGCGTCACTTCGTTTGTCCTGAAAATATTTACTTCAAGTTAGTCACAATAAAGATGGCGCAGTCTCAGTTGTGTATAATATAATTTTAACTTTATTATTTCCATAAATTAACGTTTCGAGAGCTTTACAACTGTCATAGTGACTATCCTCAAGTTGACAGATATCAATTTAATCGACAGACAAATTTAAGACATGCATCGAAAAGTATTTGCAATAATGCGCTGAATCTAATCTTGTATCTGGTAATTCTAAATATTAAGTTTATTTGTCTATATTCTTTTTATAGCTATGGTTGAAGGTTGTGGCTGTGTTCGCATTAATAGCATAGTCTGTGCATCCATGTTATACCTTCAGAAAGTATGATATGTACTAAACTCTCTTACCAAACTGTCACCCAGTAGTCGCAAAGCGTTGCCGACAATTGACCAATCAGCAGAATGATAACCATGAAGAGGAGTCTGCCTGTTTTGCCACCAGCTCGAAGGTAGGCCCCATACACCTGCCAACCCATCGAACCAGATTCTCTTTCTTCCTCTTCCATCTCTTGCGCTGGCATTTCGGTGGTAGACTCAGCCAAAGATGGCCGTCTTGTTGTTGATAACTAAAGGGAAACATTATAAAACAAACACAATTATATATCTGATATTGTATTCAATAAAAAGTGAGATTTGGAAAAATACGTAAAATAGGTTTATATAGGAATAATTGCGTAATATTTACATTAAAAGGTAGTTATATATATATACTGCTCAAAACAATTACGGGAACAAAACTTTAAAGTAGAACTAAACTTTTTACTTAAGGTTTTAATTATTACTGGCCACTAGATAATGTTAAGGCATTGTCGAAGAAAATAAAAAACAAAAGAGCATCGGCGTTTTGGTTAGTAGTCCTATAATAAAGTGGCAGTGTGTCTAGAAACACCTAAAAACAAAGTGACGTCTTTGAATTTTCATTACTTTCTAATCACAGAAAACACATTTTAAGTAGTTTTTTTCAATCTTTTGAGTATTAATAGAAATTGAAGTGAGCCTTTTGAGTATTGTTATTCATTGAAGCGAGTGAGTTTAGGTCATAATGCCAGATCTGACTGAATTGCATGTCTCCCGAGCTATCGCTTTGCTTGAAGAGGGTCGAACTATGCGTTATGTAGGAAATGATCTAGGAGTAGCCCCTTCTGTTATCTACAGACTTTGGAAGCGATACCGTGAGACGGGAGAATACTCACGAAGGCGTGGTCAAGGTCGAAAGAGAAAAACTACACGCTTGCAAGATCGCTACATCGTCAACTGTGCTTTACGTAACCGCACCACAACTGCAAGAGATCTACAAAATACACTAAGGACGGCTACTGGTGTAGAAATTTCCGACCAGACGGTAAGAAATAGGTTGTTGGAAGCCAATTTGAGATCACGCCGACCAGTTCGGGCTGTGCGTCTAACAATTCAACATAGACAAGCTCGCCGACAGTTCGCGCAAAATCACGATAATTGGCAACTTCGACATTGGAGGCCAGTGCTTTTTACTGACGAATCACGATTCCGTCTAACACGTTGCGATGGTCGTCTCCGTGTGTCACAGACGCTCAGGCGAGCGATACAGTGCAGCAGCAGTCCAGGAATATGACAAATTTGGATGTGGCTCTGTGATGGTTTGGGGCGGAGTTAGTTTGGACGAGCGCACAGATCTCGTCGTTGTTCCCGGGCGCTTGTGAGCTCAAACTTACATTGAAAATGTGCTCGAAGATCATGTTTGGCCCGCAGCATATGGTATGGGCCCAGATTTTCTTTTAATGCAAGATAATGCCAGGCCGCATACTGTAGCCATCACGTCAGATTACTTACGACAGCAGGAAATCCGTGTAATGGAGTGGCCTTCCATGAGCCCTGACCTAAATCCAATTGAACACATTTGGGACTTGCTTGACAGGCGCATCCGGAAGCGTCCGATTGCACCTCAAACACTGCAGCAGCTCACTGAAGCGTTGATTGAAGAATGGGAGCGAATTCCACAAGAAGATATTTTTTATTTAGTTTTGAGCAGTATATATATATTTTAGTAAATAATTACAAGCGTAAACCAAATGTTAGTAATCATCGCACACTTAAAGTCAAAATGAGCCCTTTAGTTTTTCCCACACTCATAATCCAGCGTCGCAACCCCACTATCCCTAATTTTATGTTAATTATAAACTCATGTATTAAACGATTAAAGCCAGTTGACACCTATCTTCAAACAAAGTGTTTTATTTATTTCAACATCCCCCAACGACTGCCACCGAACTTAACTAAGGTAAATACAATTTTCCTAAAAACACATATTGTTCAATTTTCTTGCACTCCAAAACGTGTTACCTTGTCACGTATGTGACAGATGACATCTACAGGTAAAGTAGACTGTCCTGAGTTACTAAGGTGTGTCTCCGGGTGTATAATAGGAGGCTAAAAAATATCAACATATTACCTAGAGTCAACACCAATTACATAGGGCTTTATGCTTAGGCTACGGTTTCCTAGAAAAGCGGTGCCGTTATCTAACGGCCGTAATGTAACGTTGGGTGACGTCATACGTTGTCTATAAATAACATCGGAGGAGGTTTTCTAGAGAACGTTGAGTGTCACCGTAACGTCAAATGGCGGTGCTGTCATTTGCATGACGGCCGTCATAGCGGTGATGACAGTAGTTCAACGTTTTTCGCGTAGCGGTGCCCATATTTAATTAATACAATGAGTGGAAACGTGACTTGGACGAGCGAACATGATTGTTTTTTGCATTATGTTAAAAAAGTAAAGACGGCCGTTATTAACAACCGTAAAATGACGGCCGTTAGTTAACGGCACCGCTTTTCTAGGAAACCTAAGCTTTAGGGCGGCGGGTAAGTTTGACAATTTGACAGATGACATTTGTTCGCCTCAAATGTGGAGGCAAGCCGAGCTCTGACATCTGAATTCTTTAGTGAAATAAATATTGTATCATAAGTTGACTAAAGTATTCCTCATCTATTATTAAAATGATTTATATATTACTGATATTTGTAATAATTAAAGACATGTGAATGTGAAGATTGACGTACACAGTTGTTTATATTAAGTTATAAGCTGTAAATCTTCTTAATAATAAAAAAAAGTACTGTAAAGCTTGAATACAGTACGATAAAAAATATAGTGGTGTGTTGTGTGATGTATGGTGGGTGTAGCACCATACATCACACAATAGATATATACCATATACTATAGATATTTTAAATATTGGATTATAATATTATGTCATCTTTGACCAATTTTTAGTATACTTTTTTGTTATATTATTATATTTATTTTAGAATGTATTTCCAACACACAAATGTACAGTGTGTACAATATTCTTAATCTAAATAGTTATAATAATAATTTAAAAAAATTATGAATATAACATTAAATTCGGTCCCTGTGGCCGTACCTTTAACGCTGGCATTACCTCGCTGTTTTGCGATTCATATTCGTTAAAGAAAGCACCACCAGGCGCCACCTTAAATCTTTAATTAGGGCCTGTGAACCCTACAGTAGTATAGTTATATAATTTAAGTTACGGAGTGCTAAATAATTAATTAAAGACTTACCCTGGCTGAAGTCCTTCGGGACATCGGTGGAGGCTTCTCCACTTCCGGCTTGTCGTCTTCTTGGACAGAGGACAGCAATTTCGCGAAATCTTTTCCGGAGTGCATTAGTTCACCGTATGTTCCCTTTGCATCAATAGATCCCTTAAAACAAATATTTTTGTGTTAGAATAGATTTTTTAACATTCGCATTTACGGTAAAGGAAAAGGTAGCGGATATTTTCTATTCAAAGTTAAAGTCAAAAATCATTTATTTATGTAGGTAACACAATGTACACTTATGAACGCCAATAAAGAAATATACATTAAATGCTTCTAATTTTACATTTACTGCCAGTTCTCAAATCAAGGGCGTAGAACGGAAGAGAAGAACTGGCAATATGGCCACTCTTTTTAATCGCCAAGTTTTTTGTTTTACACAACGATTGTAAGGAGCTGCAACCATTACACCATGTTCCATGTGACATCCTTAGTAATAAATAAAATAAATTAAAAACAAAGATTTGTCCTCTATCAGCAGGAGGCATGGTGAAATAGGAGCATAGTCGAAACAACTAACATCACCGCATACACGAATTCAAGTACGACGAAGACAAGTATTCAGAGTCGAGACGGCGTACACCTTATTTAATTAGACATAATAGAGCCACAGTTTCGACTTTGAAAGTGATACTCCGAAACAAGTCTTAGCACTATGTGTGGCTGTCGAAATGGATGGATTTTGACATACAAGTTCATGTCAAGTCCCATTACTGAATCTTTATTAACATTGAACCAGAAATGTTTGGATTGCCACAAAGAGTGGTCAGTAATTATTGTTATTGCTTAATCCGAGAAGAGTAGATTTTTACTACCTTTTAACTGATAGTAAAGTAATTATAATAAACTAGCGGATCCGACAGACGTTGTCCTGTAAACTGTCCTATATACAAAAAATCTAATAATGTAAATCATTATCGACTCCATTTAAACACAAAAAATCATCAAAATCAGCCCAGCCGTTTAGGAGTTAAAGTACAAACACATCCACTGAAGATTTATATATACCAGATACCTGCAACGCCATCTGCCGAGCTGATTTGTGAATCTAAACCATCCAGGGCGCCACCCAAATGCATACAAAAAAATTCATTCAAATCGGTCCAGTTTAAGAGGAGTTCAGTGACATATACATGTACAGTAGAATTATATATTATATAAAGATAATCCAGTGGTGCTAGAACCTTAAATAGTTTTGCTTAAGACTGCATCAGTTTCTTTAATAATAAAGATAAATCAAATACAGTCAAAACCGTTTACGACGACATCGTTTAGATTCAGTGATTCCCAAAGTGGTCTATATCGCCATTGTTGCAACCTGCAAGGGGTCTACGTCAGCGAAAAAAATTTGGGGGTCCATGAAATGAAAGTGGGGGTCCACGATAGTGGATCTCAACACATACACTGATAGTACCTATTTACTTACATCATACTATCTTATAATATCAAAACATATACATTATATTGACTTATTGCTTATGTTATTTTATGTTTATTTAATGCTACGTATATTTTACATAACAGATACAAAATTTTATTTTGAGTAGTTTTAATTTAAATTCAATTAAAAAATGTATAAATTAACGTATAAAAAGTGTTTTTACTTTAAGTTTTTAACACTTAACTTCACTACAGTTAGAAATTTACAGGAAATCAATATCAGGTAAGTAGGGGGTCCCCACACGGAAAAACATGGCAAGGGGTCTACGACACAAAAAAGTTTGGGGAACTCTGGTTTAGAACAACGTACCGGTTCTATTGACCAAAATCTAAGGTCCCGGCTGAATTCTATTGTATTAGGTACTTATAGGCAGCGGCACGTAAGTCTAGCGCTGGCCGATACGTGGAGGGGATTGCTGCGCATGTGTACTGTCGCGCGGGGGACGGAATGCGACTGGAGAGCCAATGGACGCTACGCGCGCCCGCTAGCCCCCCTGAGATACCTTATTTTTTACTTCTGCGCAATAACGGTCAGCGCTAGAGTTTCGTGCCGCTACTTGTAATAACAACGTCATCTGCTGTTACATCGATTTTTACGACCGAATATGAGTAGTCCCGTCGATGTCGTTATAACAGATTTTGACTGTAATATGTTTATTGACACCTGATTAAGTGCCATCTAGCGGCACCATGTGAACGTAAAAACGCCACTGACCGCGTGGTATTTTTGTATTAAATTTAGTAAAAAAAAATTTATATCTATCACAAAAAACTTCATGCCAAAAATGGTATTTTCTTTCCATTTTTGCGTATTAACCGAAAAATCGTAAAAACTTTAAGAACGTTTATATCTCTAAATAATATCGATTTTTGTGATAACTTTTCCAAGTATATTCTTAAGTAGCACTCCAGCTCAAGTATCTGATACTTACATTATTCATAATGACGATGTAGTCGGCAGCTTTGAGATAATGCAGCTGATGAGTGACCAGAATTCTCGTGGTGTGACGGAGGTAGCCATTAATGCATTCGTCGAATAGCTGACGGCCAACGTGTGCGTCAACAGCGGAAAGCGGGTCATCAAGGAGATAGATGTCTGCCTGTGAACGAAGAAAATATTATAGATACACTAGCTGACCCGGCAAACGTTGTTTTGCCATGTATATTATTTCTAGGAAACATTTTTTAATTCAATAAAAATAGCTATCTACTATAATAAAAAATAGGGGTTGATCGTAGAGGGTAGATGAAAATTAGGAGTTGTATGTATTTTTGTATGCTGTATCATAAAAAAATCAAAACAAAACAAAATATCTAAAAAATAAAAGTTTGGGGTGGACACCCCTTATCACTTAGGGGTTTGAAAGATAGAATGTAGGCGATTCTCATACTAAATATGCATAAAAAATTTCATAAGAATCGGTCGAGCCGTTTCGGAACAGTATGGAAAAGAACATTGTGATTTGTGACACGAGACTTTTATATATTAGATTTAATATATAAATAATACAGTTATTACACTATAAAAATCGATATAACTTATTTTAATCACGTGCCGATATTAATTAAATAGTACAATTTTGCAAAATAGTGTGGTACAAATTGATTGATAATAAAAAAAACGCACAATCAGCCATATAATAGGCATGCAAATGTCATATTAATTATCATAATAATATGAAAAGTTATTTATAATTGTTGTCAAAACTTATAGTCTAAATACTCTTCCATTGCTAAGGATATATGTATACAACTTCTCAATAAGCCACTGGGAGCTTTGGGCCAGTCAGTGGATGGAATTGTTGAGGATCTCATTAGGGTGGAGGAACAGAACATCCTTCCTCAACAATGGCTTATTTAAGTGGGCTGTATAACGTATAACCAATTAAGAACTCCATCATCATCAAGATGACATCATGTTTGATATCCTGAAGGGAAATGTCATCATCAAGCAAGGCAATGATGACATTTATCCAGTGGCGTTTCCATTTATGAGTCCTGGTCTTAGGTCTAAGTACCTCAATCATCAAAGATGATTGTGTTCACAGAAGATTTAATATCTAATTGCCTGGAAGTAAAAAGGTTAAGCAGAAATATGCATGTATTACTTGTCTATACACAGCCCTCGCCAAGTTGATACGAGCTCTTTGACCTCCAGACAGAGAGGCACCCCTCTCCCCAACCAGGGTCTGGTCTCCGTGAGGGAACTGTTGGAAGTCTTTCTGAAGAGCACACACTCGTACAACCTGGAGAAACGTAAGTTAATTTATAAATAAAAGTTTGGAGTTAATAAAGGAGGAGAAAATATAAATTAACCTATTGCGATAAATTAGAGTACATATAATATTATATTGGTTAGTAAAACATTAACATACAAAAATATGCAAACCTAAAACTTGACTACGTACCTCTTTATATTTTTTCGCATTGTAGGGTAGTCCAAACAAAATGTTTTGTCGGACGGTAGCAACGAACAACCATGGCTCCTGGCAGGCATACGATAGAGGACCGGAAAGGAACACGCGACCGCTGGTTGTACGTAATTCATTTAGCAGCAGTTGCAGGATGGAACTCTGAAAGAAGAACAGGATTAGCAGAATAGATGCCAACTTCCTGAGTACATGGAATTGGGTTTCAATTCACTGTATGTTTTTTTTATGTCATATGAGGCAAACGGGCAGGAGGCTCATCTGATGTTAAGTGATAACGCCGCCCATGGTCATTCACATTGCGAGAAGGATCGCAAGTGCGTTGCCGGCCTTTTAAGACTTGGTACGCTATTTTCTTGAAGGACCCTAAGTCGAATTGGTTCGGATATACTTCAGTGGGCAGCTGGTTCCACAAAGTGGATGGTATTTTGTATTCTGCCTTGACGTCCCGTGATAAAAATCAGCTGCAGTTATTAGTCTGAACAACTGTCCATGGTAAATTGTGAAACATTTTATAATAGTATTGTCTTTTATTGACATAACTTTCACACATTTGATAATAAAAAAATTTTTTTACCGGATTTAAGTGATGTATTTACAATTATTTTTCATAATTTAAAATTTAACCGATGTTTCGCGTGCTTTACAGCGTGCGTGGTCACTATCTTCAAGCAAAATCAAAGATGGTATAATATCCAAATTAAAAACTCAAAATAAACAATCCGCGAAAATAGAGGACACCGTGAGCAATTTCTGCCAAAACCCTCCATCTTTTAGTCGATACCAACTCCGGGGAAACAAATACAGATAATGCAACTTTTTCTACAGCTGTGACACTTTTTGACATTCAACACCTTTTGTCTTCAGTCACCGTGACCACGCACGCTGTAAAGCACGCGAAACGTCGGTTAAATTTAAAATTATGAAAAGTAATTGTAAATACATAACTGAAATCCGATAAAGAAATTGTTTTATTATCAAATTTTTATAATTCCTTGAAATAATTAAACGCATCGCAGTCAAGACAGTAAATAAAATATTGTGCCTCTCCATCTTCCAAAAGCGAGGAAGAAGCAGGAGAGACTGTGGCTAAAAACTAGAGATCCAATTGTCCCTTTTTGGTAAGGTATTCCTATCGTACTTCTGAAGACTTGAAAACTTACTTCATGAAGATACATTTAGGTCACAAAACTCACCTTTCCAGCTCCAACAGAGCCGATGATGGCGCAGAGTTTTCCTTTCGGGATGCTTATGTTGATGTTTCGTAATGTTACAGTGTCTTCTATCCAATTTGCGCAGACGTCCTGCATTTGTATACCGATATCCGAATTGGCTGGTACCAAGCTTGATTGAGACACCAGTCCCTTCTCATTGCAATCAAAACCTGTTAAAAACACAGCATTTATTAGTAAATATTGACTCTATAAGTTAAAAGTTTGCTAGTATTGCCAGTCTTAAAGACTTCATCCCACAAAGAAAGCCAACATTTTAAAATTCTTGGCTCCCAGGAACTTTGGGATATACGTTATGAAAATACGAAAAGCATATACCATATGCGAGGGATAGCGAGAATACGTTTTTTATGTGACAAGGGGGCTAACGGGCAGGGGCTCTCCTAATGTTTGACTGATGGACACTCACATTGCCAGAAGGCACGCAAGTGCGTCGCCGGGCTTTTTAATTTAAAATATTTCAGTCGGCAGCTGGTCCAACATAGTGGTGGTGCGCGGCAAAATAGCCTTAAGAAACGCTCAGTTGTAGGACAACGGATGTCAAGGTGTGCGTGCACTGACTTGACAGGTCCACTCAATCTGTGTTGTTCTTTCCTCAAAAGACCATTTCAGACTGCAATCTACATGGTCTTCACATGATCTGTTCAAGATTATGTCTGGACTTTAAAAGAGACTGTGACCTCTGAGTTTGTTTCGGCGTTTCCTCTCAGAGTAGTCAGATAGGAAACGTCGAACTCATCTAGGTTTAAAAATAAATATGCTTGACGTGTAAAAGTGTTTGTATAAACCTACTTACAGAAAATAAATCATTTATCATTCTACATTGACGTCCGAAGATGAAACGCAGCTACAGGTATTAATCCTAACAATTCCTCTGAACACTCTCCATGGTAATTATGCCGGTGTTTGTAGGTAGCGCGATTATCAACATACCTGGATTATAAATACCATCTTCGTCAATTTTCTTGAAAGTGTTCGCGCATAGATCCAGTTCACTCAGCGTTTTCATTTTCTTGTTTTCCACCTTTTGGACTAGTTTCGCGATATCCACTCCCGCAACGCTACGTAAATCTTCTCTTTCATCTGTTATTGTATAAATGATTTTAGTGTTTTTTTTCATAGCTATTGTGTTATCTGTTATTAGTATGTTATGTGTTAAGCCTGCGTCATCATTTGCATAGAAATATAAAAGAGGTAAAACTGGTTGTCTGTATAGTCGGTTTACGAACGATAGTTTAACGTGACAACGTCATAATAAAACATTGATGAAATGATTGCATACTTCACTACATAGTATAAAACAAAGTCGCTTTCTCTGTCCCTATGTATTCTTAAATCTTTAAAACTACGCAACGGATTATGATGCGGTTTTGTTTAATAGATAGAGTGATTGAAGAGGAAGTTTTATATGTATAATAACATCCATTAAATATGGATGGAGAAATACTGTTATTTTTGAGGTTACTAATGTGATGTCGTAAATCGTAAATAATTTCATTTTTCCGCTTACATTGCGAACAGAAAACTCCGCGATGGTCTATCTCTCATGGATATCCCACAATATTTTTTTTGTCATTCACTTTTTTCGACAAATAATGGCTAATTTTTTAAGCGATTCTAACCAATACAGCATTGATCCTTATCCAATTAAATACCTTAAATACATTGTTGATTAAATATAAATTTTCGAAGATATTACAAATTTAAAAATTGCGGGACGAAGCGCGTTGCAGGTAGCGGTTCTCCCTATACTCTATAGTACTTTGAATTTAGTATCAGCATTGCATTCGTGCGAAGCCACGTGGGTCGCTAGTTTATGAATAAAATCGAATCATTTTTATTTAATTATCACTATGTTGTATCGATAAAAAGTAGTGAATCGTCGGACGCATAGGCATAAAAGAGATAGATGTGTCGCAAGCGTACAATGAGCGGAACAAGACAATAAGCGTAACGGGACAATGAGTAATTCTTTTTCGTGCGTGTAGCCGGCGGTTCATCGGTTTATTAGACGTTGTCACATCAAATATATATAATATATATGTGTACATGTATGGAAACTTTTAATTAAAATCGTTTTGTTATTTACGTATACGAATATATTATAATAGAAAACAGCAATAGAGTTTTTTTTATTCCTATATAACATAGAGATTACGTCAGTTGAATTAGAAGAAACAATTAGCTCTATTTTTGATCGTCGTCGATATGATTGTTTTTGCGTGTAAAATGTCAAATAAATATAAAATAGTGATATAACGTCGTGAAAATTATTTATTTATATATAAACAATTCGTTGCATGAATACAGAAATATAGAACAATTAACATAATTCAATAAAAAGGAGCAGATTGGAGCTCTTCCAGGCAACAAATGTGGCAAAATTTTGTACTTAGATAAGGGGGCGCAATACGCGCAAAACTACATAAGACATATAGTAAATTAGACAAAACTAATAGAACACAAAGCAATTAAAACGTGTAAACAGTGAAAGGGTCTAAGAAAAAAGGACACTCATATACATATATATATGACCACAGCCTGCTTGAAATCAATATTATACAATTGAAACAGAAAGGTTGTTTCAACAGTTAATTAGCTGTGGTTTACTTGAGTTTACAAACTATAATCTACAGAGCTTAAACGAAAACGTAATATAATAAAATTATTTTTAAATATAAATTTATCTATTATTAAAATGTTCAATATATATTATCGTTGATGTTTTGATAAATTTGATTCTTCTTATTTGTATACTAAAAGATTTATTTAAACAACCGATAAGTCAACTTCATAGGGCACATAGCAAATGTCATACGTCATTCTTTGTCAGTTTGACAATTTACTTTTCAGAAAGACAATGACATGATTTGCGATTAAGGAATTCAATACAAATACAATAAGTTCGTTAATATGAGTAAATAAAACAAGTTTAACTTGAAACATTTAAACATCTGAAGAATTTGCAGGTTTACGCAATTTTTATTAAGCTTTATTTAAATTTATTACTGTGAAGTTCTTATTTTTGAATGATCTCCATTTGAATATAAGATGTTGTCAATTGTCAAGTGAATGTTAATTAGAACATGTCAATGGTTGAAAAATTATGACAGTGTTTTGCGTGGGCATGAGTAATTAAGTCGGTCCCTAGAGTCATTGTCATACAAATATATTATATTAGGTTTAGTAGGTTATCACATGCAAAGCTGTTTAATAATAAGTTTAATTATTCTAAAAGGGTTAATAAGATTTACAGTAAGACTTACAGTATTATAAAAAGTTAAGTAGTTTTCCATTTTATCCATTTTAATTCCTTATAAAGTTTAGTATAATTGGATTCCATCACCTTTATACATAAATTAGAATTACAGATACAAAAAACCCTTTATTATCTATGTTAATCACAGTGACATTAGTAACACGACAGCTGTACATCTGTGGACGTTTCACAAGAATCAAAACCAGAACAATTTAGAATGTCAAAATCGTACCCAATAATAAAAGATCTTCTATTCGTTGAATGGAGGTATAAGACTCCAGTAACATTGATAAGCTTTGAGGCAACATGATAGCTACTGAACTTTGAAGGATGTTGAACATTTGAGCCAACGGGAAAGCCTGTGAAAGCCACAAGGTCATTATATACCTACTTTGAAGTAAACTTTATAAATCAACAATTGACCGTGTGACAGAATATGCCTGCTTCTTTTGAGGACCATACTTCAGCTCCCTGGCGGTCCAATCAAGTTCTGCTCACTGTGGCTGACTTGTGATTAGCATCAATCTATTCAAGGTTTTTAGATTTTTCGCAGTTAAATAAACGATTCATGATAAGAGGCTGGTTTAAAATAATTGGTAAACGGTATGAAAAGCTAAAATAAGCGTAAGTTTTCTTTTGCCGCTCATGCAAGGCGAGTCTACGTGCAAGCTATAGGAAGAAAGTTAAGAACGAGAGCCTCCGTAATAATTTGGACTCTTCAGAATTAAGCTAGCGTTTCATGCGCATGACCCCAATATAATTCGAGATCTCCAGGTCTCACATACCCAGAAGCATGAACGCCTCAAGGCGCTGGACTGAAATCAGCGCCTCTGCCAAGAACGATACAGCGTTTGACATAATAATCGATAGAGTGCCTTGTAGTGTATTGTAGAATTGTGCCAGAGGAAATACCTGTAAATCAGATTATTGCAATATTCTCTTTACCCATGAAGGTTTATCAAGCGATGAATGGGATACTTACGATGTCAGCGGTGACTTGGAAACCGAATAGGGAGTAGGACAGGAGGGTTATGTAGAGGGTTAGTCTTTCAGTGAAGACCATGAAGCTGAGGTAGACCCCGCGAAGGTATGATGCAGATGTGACGCTATTGATCTCGTTCTTCCGGGCCAAAGCTACGACTTGCTCGAACGGTTTCTCCCACGCGTACATTTTGATGACCTAAAACATTCATAAGTTTTTTATGGGACAAGAGGCAAACGAGCAGGAGCACCAGCTAGCGAGTGTGTTGCCTACCTTTGAGAGAATAGTATGCTCTTTCCTTGAAGGTACCTTAGTCGTATTAAATGGAAATACCTATACTGGCAGCTTGTTCCACAGTGGTGGTGCTTCATAAATGTTTCTTTACTTGACTCTACAATTTTTGATCTTTCTAATAGCTGTATCTGTTTCGTAAACATAATAGGCTGTGACCAGCCTTCTGTGCCTGACGCATGCCGTCAACTTTTCGGGTCTATACCATGCCGGTTTCCTCACGATGATTTCCTTCAATGAGTTCAATGGTGCACATGGATAAGAGTCATGCGCTCAAGCCACTAGACCAACACTGATCTTATACGTTTTGTAATTTAATGGGCAAAGCGTCTAATTTTTATGTCCTAGGTTCGTTTTCAGGCGAAGTGATAGCTTTTTTAACGGTAGACCTACTTGCCATAAGGATCTTAGAAACAGTAGTAAAATGGAGTCTTCGAGGTTGCTTAATAGATAAATGTAAATTAAAGTTCATTATTTCTCTATGGATTCTATAATGTAAGGGCAATTGAAATCAGTGAATTGTCTATTGCGTATTTAGCTCATTAGCGTAATTTCAAAGGCTTTAGTATCTGTTTAATACTTGTTATTAAAGTAGGCACTATTTAATATACCTGCATTCCGTTGATGATTTCGTCCATAATTCGTACACGCTCGTCAGTTTTGCATGCAGTTTTCATTCTCAAACGAGCGGCTAATTTACTCATGTAAGCTGGAAATTAAAAAATATATAACTGTAGGCATAACTAGGTAATCAGTTAATATTAAAGTTTAAATCCTAATATTAAATAACTGGTAATGATTTCATAAATAGCACCTTAACACGTCTTTGTATCTTGAGTCCGGCTCAAAGTACCAAAAGTATAACGTGTTTGTATGTTGCATATCAACGTATACCTTTGACTTTGGAATATTATTTTTTGGATTAAACAGATCGACTGGTTTTGTGTCTTGAATTTTTACAACTCTTAAAAATTATGATAAATTTCATTTTAAAAATCTTTTGCAATGGTAACATAAAAATCACCCCACCTCTGTAGGTTTTTCGAGGTACATGATGATTATAGTCACATATATAAATAAGAGTATTTACCAATTTTAATAGTGTTTTGATGAGTACCCTTAATGTTATATTATAAAACTAGCTGATCCGTCAAACGTCGTTTTGCCATGTATATCACTAATAATAAAAAATAGGGGTTGATTGTAGAGGGGTGAAAATTAGGGGTTGTATGTATTTTTTAATGCTGTATCATAAAAAAATAAAGAATATTTTTTTATCTAAAATTTAAAAAAAATGTAGGGGTGGACTACCCTTAACATTTAGGGGGATGAAAAATAGATGTTGTCCGATTCTCAGTTATACCCAATACGCTCACAAAATTTCATGAGAATCGGTCAAGCCGTTTCGGAGGAGTTTAACCACTAACACCGCGACACGAGAATTACTACTACTACTACTACGAGAAAACTAGCTTGGTCTTAATTAATTTTCTTTTATAACAATATTCACTGCTTTAATATATTATGAGGAGCTGGATGTAATAGCTGGTTACAATCATTTTGCCAAAAACCTTGGCTATCGAAAAGAGTGAGAGAGTTGAGTTCTTACTTCTTCTCGATGCTCTTGATTTGAGAACTGGCAGTTAATGTAAATGTGAAGCATTTTTTTACCGACGTTCATTAGTGTACATGATAACTAAATGATAATTTGAATAAAATCAAGAGGACGTAGTGACAAGCATTTAGTTACAAGTTATTATTATTAATTACTTAAGATGTCATGTGGAACATGGGGTAATGGTTGCAGCTCTTTACAAACGTTTTGTGTAAAAGAAAAAACTTGGCGATTAAAAAGAGTGGCGGTGAGTTTATTGCCAGTTCTTCTCTTCCGTTCAACCTTGATTTGAGGACTGGCAGTAAATGTAAAATTAGAAGCATTTAATGTATATTTCTTTTTTGACGTTCATAAGTGTACATTGTGGTACCTATATGGATAAATGATTTTGACTTTGACTTTGAAGCGAGAGAGGGATAAGTGGAGATCTATGGCCTCTGTCTCTCCCTTCGGGAAAGGTGGGAATATAGAAATAAATTGATTTTTATACATACATTGAACAGGAATTGTCTGCAATACAATCCCAATGACGCCAACAATTGCAGCATATCCGATCTTCAGATAAATAAGGTAACACACGAGAACAACTTGCAGTGGTAGAAGCCAGATAAAGTGTGTGTATATGAAGGCATAGTCGAAGCGGTTCACGTCGTTTGATAGGAGATTCACCACTTGACCGGCTGTTGTTTGAGCTAAGGCACCAGAGCTCATTCTCATCACCTGAAAAAGGAGTTCATCGGATTAATACCTTCAGCTGAGTTTCTTAATCGAGGCAGAATACGAGATTCCACCCGTATCACCTGCCGTCCGTCTTTCCACAACAGAGCGGTTTTTAAGGCATCTCTTGCCGCGTACCACCACTATGTGGAACCAGCTGCCCACCGATGTATTTCCGATCCAATTTTACTAAGAGTCCTTCAATAAACCAATTCTTAAAAGCCCGGCAACGCACTTGCAAGCCTTCTGGCAATGTGAGTGTCAATGGGTATAAGTGATTCAAATAGTTATGGACATTATTGCAAATATTTTAATTTGGACTTATTGTATAATATTTTAATGGGCGGATAGATTTGCTGTCGATTTGAGCCCCTATTTGCTGTCGTTAATTTGTCTAAGAATCCCTCCCCCTATGCAACAAGATGCAATGTTTTCATGTGCCTCATACAAACACGAATTACCTGAATAATTCGACAATTCGGCGGCTTTTATCTAACTATGACACTAATTATGAAGATGTTGATATTTTCCACCTCACCAAAGATTATGTGAGGAAATATTTAAAAAGGCAGGAGAAATTTCAAAACTTTCTTTGTTTAGCAGTAACAATTTAGTTTTTTCTTTGAAATATTAAGTATTGATTGTCTTGTATTTGTTAGGGTCTGTTTCACAATGTACGGATAAGTACTACATAAGTTCCAAATTAGCTATTTATTACTTATTGGTAGGAGAAACACTATTGTTGCGTGTCACGACTGTCAGATAGCGCTATTCGTCACATAAAGTCCATCATAACTTATGAGTCCGATGAATGTCAAATAGAACAATTTATCTTCCAAATAATTTATGTGTTGCATAGCTATTTGGTACTTTATCCATACATTGTGAAACAGACCCTTAATGTCTCAAATTTCAGTTTTCTTTTTTTTCTCTTGCCTATTAATGTACATGTTTCATGTATATTGTTTATCAATGTAATCTGTTTTGGCTTTGTATATTGTCTAAAGGTTTTTTATAATATTTTTGTTAGCTGTAAGATTACTAATAAATACAATATGGAGGTCAATATTTAAATGATTATTTTACCTTTCTGTAAATGAGTGAGCAAGCTGCTATGCGCACTTTCATTCCGAATTGTTGAGTAGAGTAGGTGCCGTGATGGTTCAGAAATGCAATTAATAATGACATAATGATGACAGCTGACGCGCAGTATATCGCCTGTTCATATGTCATAGATGATCCCGGTTCCCAGTATGCCAACAACATACTCAACGCCACGGGTTGAAATGGTCTGAAAGATTAAATGAACCAGTTATATATATTTTCTATATATTTAATAATTATTTCTATATATCTATATTTTACGTAAAACGTGCCAAATATTAATGTGTAAAATAAAATCTTTTTAAAATTTCTGAGGGTAGTCAAGAAAATTTGTAAAAGTACCCGCAAGTTTTAAAGGAGTAATTTAAAAAATAGAACAATGCTAAAGTGTATGAAACAACAATGTTTCTTAATTTTATTGATTATCTCTAATTTAAGTTAAGATTTTTGTTTGGGAATCGGCCATTTACGGCAAGCAAGATAATTTTAATTATATGCATGAAATACGCATAAGGGTTTAAAATAAATTAATATTTTTCAAATTTGGAGGGTAGTCAAGAAAATGTGTAACTACTAACCCATTTAACCGTACCGTTTAAAATTACTTAAAAAAAACCAAAACGTAACTAAAAAGTGTATCGAGCGAGATAATATTAAATTATATTTTTTTATAAAGATGAAAATGCCGCCGATGCGAAAATCGCTGTGTGAGTTACAGAATCGCAGGGCTGAAGTGAAACTTCTTTGGCAAACTAACTTTTAACTCTTGATCATATTTATACAAATCTAAAACTTTAGATTTCCGAGACTTAGAGGGAGGGTTGAGGGAGGATAATAGAAAGGGTTAGGGTTAGGGTTAGAAATTTAATAAATTGAATTGTCTTTAAAATATCAAAAGTGTCCAAAAATTTATACAAATAATAAATTTCTTCGATAATAAAAAGACGTGGCATTTTAATTTACAATTCGTCATTTGAGATTTCAATAAATTATTTTGCATAAAATATAAAATACTAATATTTCATAAATTCTCTTCACGAAATTTAAATTTTAATAATAGAATTTCTATAAGGTAATTCACCCTTCTCACTCTCTTTCAATCGGTCTCTATCGCTCTCTCCCTTATCTTCGACAAAAACGCTGCACATCTTCGTGACGTTCCATCAAAATTTTACCCTCATGCGCCTAAAGAAATTTCACTTCAAAAAAACGATCCAACATTTGGTTGGACACGCCCTCGATATTTCCTTAGTAGTGCAAAAAAAGCCCCCCCTAAGAGCCTCTTTAAACCCCTAAGCGACCATATAAATACTATAATGTTCGCTAATTACACTCTTGCCTCAATTATAAGATCATCAACCTTAAATTACTCAGAAATATAAGAAAATATTGTAAAAGAAATTCATTTCCTTATATTTAAAATAATTTATGTGATAACGGTAATGAATAAGGAAAAATTGAACCGCATGTAGGCGTAAGGTGCCCTTACGGTAATAATAATACTTACAATTGAATAAAAAAACCAATTTGTAAAGTGTTCGAAAGATGAATTTTGACTTTTTAAATGTGGCCAGTTTGTTAATGTTTGTGGTTTTGCTATAAACCTACTTAGTTAACTTTCATTACAATTGTCTTCCAAACCGATGGTTTCGCGGAAATTCTCGGCCTTCGTGTGGGCTAATACTTGGATATTATTAATAAATAAATCAGTGGCGCTACAATCTTATTTCATATCTAGGTCTGTATCTGTTTCATTTCAATCATATAGGCATCAGCCTAGGTGATCAGCCTCCTGTGTCTCCTCCTCACTTCTCTGGATATTATTAATATTTTATAAGATAATACTGAGAAATATTATAGAAACTCTTTTAAAGCAATTACAGATAGCATTTGTTTTTTTATTTCAATTGTGTTCGAAAATTAAAATCTAATCGTATAACTGGCCAGTGACATTTATATAAGAATTTTACATTTAAATAGTTATTAAACTTGTTCTATTATAGATAACTTTTTTTAATGTATTCGAAAATTAAAAACATAAGTACATCACTTTGAATGGCCAGAAAATTTTCAATTATATAAAACCTGCATGGTTTCATAAAGAAAGAAATAATAGAAAAAACCGTTTCCTTGAAATAATTTGTGACAAATGTTGAGGAAATTGTAAACAGTTATTAGCGATAATGACAATGTATGTTTATTACTTGAGGATGAGCGCCTGTATCAGAAACATGACGCCGGAAGGTGCATAGCTCAGCCAGAATGTCTTGGTCATTGCGCGGAGGAGGGATGGCTTCCGTCCTTGCTTGTTGGCTAAGGCGATTTCTTCAAACCATTTCCTGTAATAAAAATATACATTTAATTAGTTTGCACGGAAAATAATTTACAATTAGATATATACCGACATCAAAAAAGGTGTATAGTTTGATAAATTTTTGTAACGCTGGCGCGGCCGCAGAGCAGGCGGAAAATAATAAACGGCTCAAATATAAGTGTTTCCTTCAACTTTCATTTTGTTCCCTTTTGAGTAGAGACTCTTGGGCCGCCTAGTAGATAGTACAGGTGACCCCAGAGGTGCTGCTTTGCTCGCTCAACGAATAAGTATTGCATTACATCGGGAAATGCTGCCAGCGTTAAAGGTCCACTGCCACAGGGACGAAACTTTTGAAATTTGTTTTAATTTTCTATTTATATTATTATTATTATGTAGGTTAAGAAAATTATAAATACTGTATATTTGTTAAATAAACATAAAAATGTCTCGATTAACAAATACAAATATTAAATCAATTATGTTATTTAATATATTTCTTCTTTCGTTTTTGGTGACGTAATAATTTTATCATTAAATGAAGACTCTTGTTATGCGTCAAAGACATATTATTATTGTTATTATTACTATATAGGTTAATTAACTTCAAAATTAACATAAATTATAAAAGGTGTTATCAGTTTTTGTGACGCTGGAATGTTTTTCATTAGCTTTCTATCTCACGGTCATTTACAATGTCATTAATCATAATCGATAAGTCTGACAGGAAAAAAAATAGCCAAAGATTTTATTTAAATTTTCCAGAGTACTAATATAACGAAAAAGTGGCACGCATTTTTTATTTATTTATCGTACACAGATTAGAAAAATTTGTTTTAGATTATATTTAAATTTCACAGATTACTAACATAACATGCTTTAAATTTTCCAAAGAAAAATGGCGCGCATTTTTTGTTATGGTTCACAGTTTACATCACAGTGTTAATCAACATATTTACACATACAAAATAAAAATGACTGAGTCGCTTGTCCAATAAGGTATGCTAATTTTGTATAATAATAATGTGTGCGTGTACTAGGTGTACACACGTAAGAAGTGAAACTTCTTTATGACCTTATTAGAAACTATTTCTTTAAACACAGTAAATTTTGATACACTGCCTAGCATACAATTTACAAATTAATTGCTGCAAATTGCGATTAGCAAATTTCAAGTCGAAAATGTAATCCGTTGTCAAACTTCAAAGTCAAAAACATACTATATGTCATATTTTAACGCCGATAAAGAAGTTTGACTTCGAAATTGTAATCCGTTGTCAAACTTCAAAGTCAAAACCATACCATATGTCATATTTTAACGCCGATAAAGAAGTTTGACTTCAAAAAGCAACATGTGACGAAAAAATGTGACGCGTAACGCAAAAATGTTACACTAAATTTTTTTCCAACCCCGATAAAGAAGTTTCACTTCAATAATAATCTACTACAAATTGGCTTCAGATTGCATAATCTTTGTTTATTTTTATTTCATAGACTAGTGGACTTCTGACACATGCCATCGATTTAGGACATGCCGGTTTCTTCACGATGTTTTCCTTCGTACGAGGGATTGTTAAATGCACATAGACAGAATCTGCATTGGTTATGGATCAAACCTTCCATCATAGAAAAAAAGGGTGCGTGTACTTATGTACGCGCGTAAGTAGTTATACTTCTTTGGCATTATTAAAAATAGTTTGTGATTGCATGCAAATAATTAATTACAATTAAATAATCAAAGACTGGAAAAGGAGTCATTATAGTCAATAAAGTTCAGTTTACATTTGAAAAATTAAATAAATAAATATTTATTATTATTCTCTTACATTAAGTGTAACATAAATCATATTATTATTCGAATGTTGTTTTTAAATTATGTCCAATGACGTAGCATCCTCCGTGGGCAACTTCATTCTGTTAATTTTGTGTCACGGTGCGCGCGATAGTAAAATTTCACTCTCATCAATTTTTCATAACGCGCCTAAAGAAGTATAACTTCAAAAACAGTCACACGCTTACTACTGCAATTTTGTATAACATAATGTTAGGTAATGACAAGAAATTAATATTTAAATTACTTTTATTCACTTTCCTCGTGTTTAATCAGATACAACACTCCATAGCTATACACTAAATCAAAGACAATTCCATTGAGGAAAACCAAATAAATCAGTAACATAGTACGATAGCTGGCCCACGCTTCTAAGTAATCTGTTTAGAATAACAAATAACGCTTTGATTCTAGATAAATGGAACACGCGCATTTTATGTATTAATATGTAAAATCGTTAAATCGTGACATAACCTATATATATATATATATATATATATATATATATAACCCGGCTTTATTCACGTTTGTTTACGTCAATAAGATATATTTGACAGCAACGTCAAACCAAATCTCTGACAATGCACCAAATATTTCTAAAGTAAAGAAGCCTTGGAAGATTTGTGTGAAAGGTGTATAGTATAAAAAAATAAAAATAAAGAATAATTGTTACTAAAACTATAAGAAATAGATAAATATTTTTGGGCGGATTGAAAACTAAATTTCGTGGGATTTTTGTTGAGTAAGTAGTTGTACTTTATAACTGCGACGAAAATTATTAATTAATTGCTGTTTGACCTTCATTGGATTATCAATTGGAGTATTTTTAGTTTTAAACATTTAAATAATTCGATGTAATTTTAGCAAGGTTGTTTGCGATAAGGTCACCCGGGGCGAAAGCAACTATGGGGCTAAAGTGACTAATTGATTTTATTCACAATTTAATGATTTTTGTAAAACGTGCCATCTGTTGAAGAGTAGAGCAATTATTACTTTTTTTTATAAAGTCTAGATGGAGCTTTTAAGTCGCTAACTGTTGTACTGACAGAGCATTTTTTGACTACCGCCATTTTGGAGCAAAGTTTTGCGGCGCCGTTTGTTTAGTTTTGTGCCATAAAAAATATTTCACGTTATTTCCAGCCAAATTGAAGGTTCATCCTAACATAAAGATAAAACGTAAGTGCTTTTGGTATATTTGGTTAAAGGCTAAGTCTTTTAATTAACATTTTATTGACATAGTTACATTAACCTCAAATTTTTGTGCAGATGGGTAATTGCAACTATTTTTGCAGTTGCAATAGCCCCATTGTATTTGTATGAAAAAATCAAATCACTAGTGAAGTTCCGTGTCGATATTTCAACAAGTGAAGTTCACTATCTATTTGCATAAAATATTTACCTTGGTATCTGTGACGTATTTTTTTAAACTTATATATTGTTTTTGTTAATAATTTAATTGAATTTATTTACATAGAAAACTTAATAATACGTGTTATTGAAAGGCAGATTAGGCGTGCACAAAATACATTCAAACTATAAAACTATGAAAGCCTTTACATAAAGTTACGATTTTGTTAATCTGCAGAGACAGAACGATACTTACGCATCTGCCCAGTGAATCTCTCAATTCAGAAATTGGCAGTAAGAATTACTGGACTGATCAATATTATCCTAGGTTTAATGATTACTCACATAATGTGGCATTATTAAATGCCAATATTATTAAGTCAGCTAGACATTAAGCATTTAAATGTTGATGTTAATTCCCAAAAAATAACTTTAGCAAGACTGCGTTTTTGTACTTACTTTCATGTTATCTATTATACTTACTGTCCTTAGATGTTTATTTGATTATAAGAAATGTTAAAACCTTTTACTATGAAGATTTATTTTTTAATGAATCGCATTTTAATTCTTTACCTTAAATCAGACTAATAATTTTTCGGTCCTTTCATCGAATTTTTTTTTCACGAAGATTTATCGATAAATTTAGTAGTACGTATCTGTCCAACACTAGCAAGTATGGGAGGCAGTCGCATTCGCCCCATAAAAAGTTTAAATTAATTTTTCTGGAAACTGAGCCTTATTCCCAGCACCTAGATACCAATTTCAGATACCTGTAGTGTGAAACTATATATACCCTTATTCCAAACGTATAGATTACGATTACAACAAGGTCATTTAACTGATAGTTGCATTAGCCTCAAGGTGGGGTAAATGTAACTTTTAGTGCTCTTATTCAACAAGAATGTAAATTATTCAATAACTTAAGCCTATTTTTCACGTACTTTATGTCGGAACTATTCAATGAAAGGCATGGAATAAAGTAAGTTCATTTAAACAACCATCATAATTAGGTAGCTAATGGTAGAGGACGACAAAGTACCAATTTATAAATTTTTAGTTGCTTTCGCCCCGGGTGACCTTACCAAGTTCAAGAATCAGTCTGTTGCATTGATCCCCGTTAACAAAGACGTCGCTACTGAATGTTGTCTCCACTATCGACGTCTTTATATGTTCGCAGAGTGAGTTCACAGTAGCGATATTGTGTATCTTATGTATTTAATATTGACGCGGCTGAAAAAGCTAAAGCATGCAAATACAGGGGTCTAGATTTTGGCCCATTCGGTGTCGAGACCCTTGGTCCACGTGGTCCTAGCGCTATAAGGCTTTTTAAGGAAATAGCAAAATGGGTTATTCGACATCACAGGAGGCCGAAGAGCTGGCAGCTACGGACAAAGAATTAGTCTAGCTATTCAAAGGGGGAACGCTGCCAGTATCTTCGGAACCTTGCCTAAAGGGCCTTTAATAATATATTTTAGTTGTTATATTTTTTAAGGTTTTTAGTTATAGATTCAAAGAATGTAATTTTTATGTTCCTTAATTAAATATTTAAATACTATTTAGTTAATAATTGATTAATTACAAGTATAGTTCTAACGGAATCTCATGGCAAATAGGGAAATAAAAATTTAATGTGGGAAATACTGGGGAAATTGGATTAAATGATCTTGATACTGTTTAATATTATATTATTAGACATTATCGTATTTTAGGTCTCAGGTATCTGTTTCGTAATCATTTGTCTCTAACTTAGAGCTTTGGGGGCCTCATAGCCTAGCGGTCTTATTAAGTGGCAGCTAGGTGAGGGGTACCGGGTTCAATTCCCAGTTTGAGGGCAAGTTTTAATTTAATTTAAATTTGTTCTCGGCCTTTGGGAGGGTTGTGCGGTACCGGGCGAGTGCTTAAACCGTACATGGAGGGCACGGTCGAATTTCTAAGGCAAGCAGTGAGTATGCTACCTAAGAAAGGAGACTGTGAAGGTTTAGAACGTAGCAATACGTTCTAGGCCGAGGATGGCAAATGACAAAGTGCGAATTATAAAAATCTTATACTTGACGCTGGCTAATGCACAAACCGTGCCAGAGCCATAAAAAAAACTTAGAGCTTTATGCTCAAAGTATGGCTTTAGGCGCAAAATAAAGCAATATAGCCAGCGTCTTGTCCACTTTCAGATGGTAAGTCTTGAAATGAGGAGGTGGATGAGCGACTTGTGCACTTTACATAAAATAGCAAATGGCTCACTTGACAGCTATCTTTTGGATAAACTTGACATCAAGGTACCGACGCGCTCTGTGCGTATCCCACAACTACTTATGATACCCACAAGTAACAACAATGTACCCCAGAATAGTCCGTTCTCTATTTGTTGTTGTTAAATGAATGTTGATATTTTGCACACTAGTATTTATGAATTTAAAAAGATTATTCGGGACTTACAACCTGATTAACTTCATTGTTTTGTCACTAAATTTGTATTTGTATTCTGTATGTGATAGTTAATATTTAGTTAACCAGCGCTGAAGATGCCACTAAATTGCTGTGTGGTTTACAAATGTTATTTAGTGTGTAATTACTTTATGTATTAATATTAATCTATTTTCTGTAAAATAAAATAGTAAAAACCGTTTTAGCTTGTTTGGGTCAAATCTAGTAATTTAAAACCCTTCCTGATGACGCATTGATGTTAAATTTGGTATTATTTTGTTAAGATGACAATAAAATACTTTATTTATTTTATCTTCCCTTTGGAGTAGACTCTTGGGCCGTGGGGTTCTAGTGCACAGCTATGTAAAGATTTAAGTTGGCGCCTGGTAGATCGTTAAGTGCAGAAAGTGAGCCCACCAACCTTTTTTAATCTTTATTGTTATTTAGACAAAATTAAACTATTCATGAAAACTAATAGTACAAAGCGAAGCAATTAATAAATATGAAAACAGTAGAATGTGAATGGGACACACAAGGGACAGAGGGAATTATGGACAGGAAATGTGTGAAAGCCAAATAGCCAAATAGCCAAAAAGCCCCATTCAAGCGCTTTAAAGTACAGTAGAACCTCTATAAGACGAACATCAAGGGAGACGCCAAAAAATTCGAGTTATAGAGTTTTCAACTTATGGAGGATTTCGACTTAGGCGGATTTTGATTCGACATAAAGAGTTTGAGGTTTAAGTTTTTAGTTTACGTTTCACTGCACTCATGTTAACTGTTGTACTAATTGATGTGTATTGCAGTAGAACCAAACTACTTCTGACAGTATTAAAGTCGAAAACAAATGACTGGCTTAGCTAAATTTCCAAGGGAATCAAAATTGAACACCTGACACAAAGCAAGCAAACACGTGTTTCCATGAGTCATAAATTTATTATTGTATACTCCTAAAATGTTTTCTAAGAAACAATAGTGTACTCACATTGGCGGCAAGTTCTTAAAGTCGGTAACTTATTTTTGTTCGAACAATAGAGATAATAAATTCCAAATGATCAAGTTGTAAAGGTTGTAAAATAAAACGTTCCTATGTTCGAGATACAGAGGTCAAATTTAATTTTTCTAGTTTTAGAGTGAAAATATGTACCAAAATGGCTTGGAGGGACTCGGTGATTATTTCGATTAACAGAGGGTCAAGATTTCAAGTAATTGAGGTTTTGGTGTTTTAAGGGAAGGGAACAAAACATTTTTTCGAGATTTGGAGGTTTTTGACTTATCGAGGTTCGACTTAACGAGGTGCTACTGTAACTAATTTGACGCTTAATTTAGCTATATACAAAAAGATAAACGTTTATTACATATACATATCGGTATTACAGGAAAACATATAAAATTCACGTGTTAAATACGCAATCAACGTTTAATATTTTAAATTGCATCAATAATAATATATAATTGCTAACAAATAGAGGAAAACAATATCCAATAGTTGAATTAAGATGTAGATTGCTGTTCACTGTTCTCGATCTTGTACATATGAAAATATAACGTGTAAATATAACGCAAATAAAGTCTTGAGTTATGTAACCGAACGTTAGGTATAAATACCTATAGGTAATAAATTGTAAAACGTCAGTTTTAGTAATGATAAATGAGTCTTTTAGTTTTTCATACATTCATTATTTATTCATTATTCGATTCCGATAATGCCCAATAGCTTCACTCGACATGACGTATATTCCTTATAGGTAATAGATGTGTAGTTATAAGAAGCCATAAAAAAATGTGTGTGTACCTACACGCGTTAGAAGTTATACAGTATAGTTATACATATAGTTTCTTTGACGTATGACATACAGTATAGTTATACATATAGTTTCTTTGACGTAACAAGATAAAATTTTATTCTACGTTTGTAGACACGACACTAACAATAGCAAAAAAGGTATTTAATACATTGAAAGTTTTATTATAACGCATTATCTAGTTAAATAAAGTTCATTTAAATATCACGAAAAAATGATTGCTACATAGTTAAATAAATGGACATATTTTTTTAATGTTGACTATGCTAACTTCAGGGTGTCGGTTTTTGTGACGGTGAGCGCGCGCATCGTAAAAATTTACTCTCATCATTTTTCTCTAACGCGCCAAAGGAAGTATAACTTTAATAAAGTTACAGTTTTTGTTAGTCCAGCGTCAAAGCCTGTTATAAGCCCTCGTTTTAAACGATTACAGACAGTTGACATTTCACAAAGAGTTACATTTATTTGAACCCTCCAACCACCGCCACCGAACACTCGCAACTCAGTTCTTCTACCGTAAAAAGTTGTGAGATCCATATAACACCAAGTCGGTTTAATCAGTCCCTACTTGAGGAACCTTCTGTCTTAAGTAATTACGAAATTAACTGACCTAACATCTTAAAATGACCATATAAATAGATTGATACACTAAACACTGATTGTATTCTAAATTTGAAACTTCTATGTCTGCTAGAAAGAAGAGAAATGCTCAAAAAGAAGATTCTTAAATACATTTAAAGATGTTTACCAGAACAAGATCGGCCCTCAACGTAATATGGGAACAGTAGTCGATCATGTATGAGACAAAACAGACCTGGCAACGAAGCATCATTGCAGAGGCGAAGGAATGACGTGGAGTGAAATTAAAAGAGCTGCCTAGGTCCGATCGAGCCAGTTCTACGCTGGACGCCCTCTGCCCCACCTGGGGGACAGTCTAAGGACGAGAAGGAAGTAAGTCAAGTCATGTAAGAGCCTTACGGGACTTCATACACAACAAAAAGTCTCATTTTTTATTCGCTTTAAAAAATTATTTGTTCTAATTAAAATGTACCGTTATCTGTAACGAGTATAGGATGTTGTTATCACCCAAATTCTTCCAAACCTGTTCGACCGCAGGCGCACTGCAAATTTTGGCCGCACGCGCGCAACCATGTGATTAACATAAGTAACCATGGCAACATAAACATTACGTATAATGATGTGAAATAAATAAATAAAATAAAAATAAATCAGTGGCGCTACAACCTTTTTAGGTCTGGGCCTCAGATTTCTGAATCTGTTTCATGATCATTTTAAAATCTAATAGGCCAGTAGGTGATCAGCCTCCTGTGCCTGGCAGACGCCGTCGACTTTTTGGGTCTAAGACATGTCAGTTTCCTCACGATGTTTTCATTCATCGTTCGAACAAATGTTAAATGCGCACATAGAAAGAGAGTCCAATGGTGCACAGCCGGGGATCGAACTTACGACCTCAGGGATGAGAGTCGCACGCTGAAGCCACTAGGCCAACACTGCTCTCAAATAAATAAATAAAGGTAATTCATTGTCCCGGTCATATACGCTTACAATGGTGTACACTGTCGAAAGCGTTATTAAAATTGCTTCAGTTTTAGAGTTAAAAATACAAATTTCTTTATAGAGATTTTCCCCCCGAAAAACACAATTTCAATTTTCATAAGGAATGAAGTTCCTTAGTTAGGTACAACTGTTACAGCTGTATTTCTGTTGTCAAACTACCGCTTTTTATATATCAGGAAAGCGGGCGGTTCATCTGATGTTAAGTGACACCACCGCCCATAGACACTCCCATTGCCAGAGTGCCCGCAAGTGCGTTGCCGGCCTTATAAGAATTGGTACAATATTTTCTTGAAGGAATCGAATTGGTTCGGAAATACATCGGTGGACAGCTGGTTCCACATAGTGGTGGTACAAAAACTGCCTTAAAAAACGCTCAGATGTGGAACGGCGGATGTCGAGGTGATACGGGTGGAATTTCGTCGTGTCGACGTCCGATGGTGAAACCCAGCTGCAGGTAATCCAATCAACTCCTCTGAACACTTTTTTAAAGTTATAATTTATATAATAAATGTTGAAATTAAACGCCGCGTGGAATTAACCAGTGCGGTATAGCCAGATTTTATACATTAAAGGAAGTGCAGCAAATGTAAATATGGCGTCCTTTCCTGAATGTCATGGTTTCCGAACCTTAAAAGGCATATTCAAACCCGTGTTAAATGTCGGTAAAGCAGTATTTGTAGGTATTGCGATTCAAAGGTCGTCGTTACACTTTTTCTTTTGGGATTTACATATACAAAACAAAGCAGAGAATTAGCACGCCATTGCTTAATACGCAATATGGAGGCAGACTACTTGTAATAAATTAAATAGGCCGCTTAATAACCCCGCTCACTGTCCACAATCTAAACGGATAAAGGACTGGCTTATGAACACACCTTACGTAGTTGGAGATGCTTCTGAGACCTAACACGTGTGTACACTCACTCATTCACTCACACCCCACAAACTCATGCACTCACGCGTGTTACAAAAAAAAGAAAAAAAAAAGGAATTTACTATTAAGTTTGATACAAGAGCTGGGAACTCTGTTCCCAAATCTTACACATAATGAATTGTTTATAATGAATAAAATAAAGAAATCAATGGCGATACAACCTTTTTAGGTCTGGGCCTCAGATTTCTGTATCTGTTTCATGATCACTTGACTATCTAATAGGCAAGTACGTGATCTCCTGTGCCTGAAACATGTCGACTTTTTTGATCTATGGCAAGGTTTCCTCACGATGTTTTCCTTCACCGAAGCCAATCATAAATGTGCACATAGAATGAAACTTATTGGTGCATCGCCTGGGATCGAAGCTACGACCTCAGGGATGAGAGTCGCACGCTGAAGCCATTAGGTCAACAATGCTCAACTATAAATTATGACGCATAAACTATTTTTATTTTTTTATTTTACTGTACGGGTGTCATCGTTTTTGCTAATTTTCGCTTATAATTCTCGACTCTCAGTCCCGAATTTCGACGTAAAATGACATTGAATGCTTAAATATTTATAGATAATGATAGATTATACATGGACAGTTATATGTCAAACACGTAGGTCAACTGTCAACTAGACAAGATGCATAAACTAACTAATGTAAATGTCGATAAGTGAAAGTGATAACTGGTTTATTGCGACATGAAACGGATATTAAAACTAG